GATTTTCTTTGCCGTCATTATCAACGAAATCAATTTCTTATTTTTTTTTTGTATAACCTCTTACAAGGGGTGTCAACACGCTCTAAATAAATTGTATGGCCTACAATCCAGAACCCTTTTTTCTTGTGTATAAACACTATTACATGTATATAGATGATATTCATTTTTTTCCTAAAATTAATACAATGTTCAAGTTTTGTTTTCATCGAGTGGTATATAAATAAATATTCCATGAGTGAAATATGATAATTTTCATATCAGGAGATAAAATAAATCCCGTATTTATTTAAAAAAAAAAAACAACCTTGAATTTTCTTTTATTTTATACATTTTCGACCTTACGATTAAAAAAAACTTCCCTTTTAATTTTGTGTAATGGCTGAATTTAGAGAAAAGTAGTCCGGCAAGATACCAGAATTCCTGTAGATTTGAGCTATTACTAACATGACATATAAGGCACATTATGCCTCAGAAACTAATAAATTTGTACTTCTATACAAAGGTCTAACATGAATTTTATAATGTTTAAATAATGAAATTATATAATGTATAATGTCAGATGATTGTCTACCTTAAAAAAATAGCGATGAATGTGAAATAATTTGTCATAAAATAAGCAAAATGTAAACGTAAACAAATTAGTATTTTGACTTCCATAGAAAATACTTATTCACTTTAATGCAAAAGATGATCCAGGTAATAGACCACTGATACTATAAAAGTACACAAAAACTTAAAAAAAAACAACTTTTGAGCGATAGAAATAAAAGCATTTCTGAGACATAATGGTCCTAATCAATATGTTTTTGTATACATGTATTACAAGAAGTAAGTCATAGCTGTATCTAAGTATAAAGTTTTAAGTATCTGATACTTAAATGAATCAATTAATAATGCATTCCAATAAAAACTGGGCTTACCCATTCGTCAAGTTTTACTTTCGAAGCTTGGTATCTTTTTTCAATTGCCGATATGAATCTGTCTGAGAAGTAAAAATATTTCCTGATAATAAACAAGAATTTGGGGGAGAAATTGTAATAGATCTAGGCTATAGCTTAACGTCAAAAGTGTCGAGACCCAGTATAAGTCGCCCTGAGGTCATATAACAATAACATATAACTCTAGATATCGCATTATTTTGCAAAATATTGTAAATGTACTGAAGAGTATCTCAAAATACCAGATTTTGATGACCATCTTTGCGGCCATTTTGAGCTCAAAATCAATGTTGTACCCAAAGCTCAAAATGGCAGCCAAGATGGCGGCTGAGTTTTATTAAATATTCACATACTCGTATAGCTATGTTAAAACTACCAAACATTTTGTTTAATATACGTAAATATTGTTAATGGACTGTTTTTCTTTAAACGAGAAATGTTTATTTTTCTTAGTCGGTAAATAATGCTGATTATTGAAATGTTATTCAAATTAGCTCTTATGCATTAACCTTGTTTAGTAAACTTCATTTGTAATGCTGCCCATCGTTTATTTGTAAACCTTGTTAATGGTTGAGGCTCACAATTTATCCCTGCGTGACCGTATAGAGGCGATTAAATGGGGTCTATATGCAACTTTAAGCTCTGACAGGTGAGGTGGTTTTGACTCTTGATGTTGCTTTTAAGTTTGTTACATCCGAGGAATATCAACATTAATTTTCCTAGCCATATAACCCATACTATGTTGGTGCGCCGTTACACCAAACAAACAATGTAACTTATTAAAATAATTTATGTCTTACCGAAACATGAATGCAGGGCACTACCTACTAGGGAACCGAGTCCGCTACAAAAAGGCGTGTACTTCTCGACTCCATCTTCCACCACGACGACACTGTTGAAAGCAAGCATAGCCTATTTGCACGTAATGGTAAAATAAACAAGAATTAAAATTTCTTATGTTCATTAAATTATAAAGTTATAAAGAATTTTGACTAATTATATTGCCCTATGTTCGGTGGTTTGGAAATATAACCAGAGACGCTTATCTATACAAATGTAGTTTATGTTGTGTTCTGTTTTTGTAATTTCACATTATAACATTTAGTTAGTATCATTTTATTCCTCTCCCTCCTCTTTTCCTTTTTTATTTGCTCGACTATTCACTTATACATCAATATCATTTTAGGTGCTTAACCATAGGTGTGTGTATCTTTTTAAAATACCTTACTTTGAAGCAGGTTTTTTTAAACATTTCATTTTTAAGTTTATGATAAAGAAACTGGTTATAAACTTACCCATCATTTTCTGAAACCTCTTTTTCTGTTTGCATTCTACATAAATCTATGACATTGAAATGGATTTGTTTAATACAGGTCCTGGTAAACAAGTGAACGGTTGTGTCGTGGCAGTATATAACTATCCCATGGAAACAAAGTTAGCGATAACGTTACATGCTTACGTCACTTAAGATGTCATAGTTAATGACGTCAGACAAGACGTGAAAATAAATGCCGTCAATTTACGTAAAATGTTATTCAACAATTTATTTCGTGATGATTTTTATACTATTATAATTGTGCGTTTATATATGTAGATCTGTATTGTTTAATTACTTTCAAATGCTTATATGTTTTACAACATGTATGACTGTAGGCTGTATTTAAAGATCGATATATGATTTTGAAAAAAAAAGCACGCTAATACGATTTTTTGAAAGTGTTTAGGAGATGTGTTGTAATGTCGCTACCGACAACTTTGTTTAGAAAGACTTAGGAAGGGGAAAGAACGAAAGAACATATTATAAGAAGTTTGTACAATCTATAGTAAAGACTTCAGAAACCGCAAGTAAAGACTAACTTTCTCCAGAATCATCCTGTTTGGTACGTTTTATTTTAGGTTAACAGCGTCTTTGTTTATCTTTTCTTTGCATGAAGTATCAAGATGCCCGAACATTTCTAATCAAGATAATTCTGATTGAACGAAAAGGGACGGGGGAAAGTTTGAAAATAACACGTGCAACAATTGAGCCTTTGCCTTGGCCTGCCAGACTCCGGAACATTATTCGGTTGGACATGCTTCATGTGGCCATTTCTTCTTCTTCTTTTTCTTCTTTTCTTTTCTTCTTCTTCTTTTCTTCTTCTTTTCTTCTTCTTCTTCTACTTCTGTGCAGCCGGTTACTCGTGCAGAACTTCGTGCTTCCCAACAAGAGTGGTGGAACAGAATTCCATAATTAAAGACCAATGGGCATGCCCAGACATTGTCAGGCTGTAATGAATACCCATGAACAATAAGATATTGAAACTTATTCCATACAGCATTTAAAACCAAAAATCCGGCAGTTTTTCAAAGTTTTCCGCTTAGATAATTTTGCACTCATGTTTCAGTTAAATAATTCAACTCATATCGGTTTTATTAATTCATACAATATATAAATAAAACTTTATATATCTGTGTTAAGCTTAACATTGTAATTAAAGACTAAAAAAGTGTCCCTTATCTAATATTCATTAGTATATTATCTTAAAATCATAATTAAAGCCGCACACCTCCAGATCCATGGTAATTTTCAAGAAAAATTTGAGCTCGTATTTAAAAGCAAAATATTGTCAAGTGAACAAATAAAGTAATCTACACATTTGCAACAGGCATTTTCAATTCACGTAAAATACCAAGTAAAGATAAAAATATACAAAAATAGCCATTACCGTGTTAGTCACGCATGCAGAATAAATACAATTAAGGTGATTTATACTGTAGTCAGCCATTCTTTGCATAAAATTGTTAATTCTTTTTTGAATTGTGTATATTTTTACTTTTTTAAAATCTTAGTATACTCGTCTTTGAAATATTTTGGCCCAAAATCAATAGGGGTCATCTGCTGGTCATGAGCAATCATCATACCAAGTTTGAAGTTCCTAGACCTAAGCGTTCTTTAGTTATTGATCGGAAACCGTTTTTACCTACAAGGTCAATGTAATTTAAACCATTGACCCCAAAATCAAAAGGGGTCATCTGCTGGTCATGAACAATCATCATACCAAGTTTGAAGTGCCTAGACCTAAGTTCTTTAGTTTTTAATCGGAAACCGTTTTTACCTACAATGTCAATGCAACCTTGACCTTTGACCCCTTGACCCTAAAATCAACAGGGGTCATTTGCTGGTCATAAACAATCATCAAACCAATTTTAAGTTCCTAGGCCTAAGCGTTCTTTAGTTATTGATTTGAAACCGTTTTTACCTACAAGGTAAATGTGACCTTGACCTTTAACCCCTTGACCCGTAAATCAATAGGGGTCATCTGCTGGTCATGAACAATCACCATACCAAGTTTAAAGTTCATAGGCCAAAGGGTTCTGTAGTTATCACTCGGAAACCGTTTTTACCTACAAGGTCAATGTGACCTTGACCTTTAACTTCTTGACCCCAAAATCAATAGGGGTCATCTGCTGGTCATGAACAATCACCATACCAAGTTTAAAGTTCATAGGCCAAAGGGTTCTGTAGTTATCACTCGGAAACCGTTTTTACCTACAAGGTCAATGTGACCTTGACCTTTTACGCCTTGACCCCAACATCAACAGGGGTCATCTACTGGACATGAACAATCATCATACTAAGTTTGAAGTTCCTAGGCCTAAGCGTTCTTTAGTTATCACTCGGAAACCATTTGGTCTACGGACCGACGGAACGACCGACAGACAAATGCAAAGCAATATACCCCCACTGTTTATATTATATATATATATAAACTAATATTGTAATGAAGTTTATAGAGTTTCGTTTCGTCTAGGACTCTTACTCTAAAAAGCTTTACAGTCACTCACAAGTATGCTATTTGTCTACATATACTTAGATGTCACGATCGAACATCTATATACATTGTATGTAATTGCTGTTATTGTTTGTTTAATAGCTCTTCAAATATTGGAGGAAATAAAAGTATCTATCTATGTTTGCAAACAGGGAAGTATGAGTTTAAGCGCCTAATATTCATCACTTTTGTGGGTGTCGATTATATATTTTGCTTCTGTAAGTATTTATACATTTAATTCGATATATAGGCAAATACGTGTATAAGATAAAATCTTGCCCAAATGTTTACGGGTATTATTCGGATCGGTACACTTACAACTAGGAAGTCAATAGAACCTGTATTTAATAAAAGTTTTCTTTCACATTTGAGTTTTGACACGGGATTTTTAAGTTTAAAGGTAAGACCTTGAGAATTCGCTTGTTTTATTTTTAATTATTAGGTATTAAAAGTTACATTAAATGATGACGTATTGTTGCTAAAATTTAAATTGTCTTCATGATCAAAATACATGATCTTTCATATTTGATTTTTGGTAAGGATTTAAAGAAGAACGTTACCTAAAATCAAATATGGCAGATCATGAATTTGATATAGAAAGAAAGAAAGAAAAAAGAACGAAGGGGCGTCTGTGACCGAGTGGTTCGAGTGGTTAAGGTCGTTGACTTCAAACCACTTGCCCCTCGCCGCTGTGGGTTAGGATCCCGACTGGGACATTGGATTCTTTCATGTGAGGAAGTATCCAGCTAGCTTACGGAACGTCGATGGTTCTACTCAGGAGCCCGTTTGTGCCTGACATAATTCACGGAATGGCACCTGAGGTCTTCCTTCACCAGTAAAGCTGACCATATGACCTATACTATGTCGGTGTGACGTAAAACACAATCAAACAAAGAATAAAGAAGAACGTCCCGGATCCATGCTAATAACATCTATCTATTGACCTTTTAACGACGCGGTCCGTTGTTATGATATATCTTCCGGATGATGTATTCTCGACATAATATTGTCTATGTTGATGATCTAAGTGTTGGTTTATCAAAAAGATAATAAATGTCAGTTTAATGTGATTCGTTTATATTTTCTTCTATTTTCTTGTGCCAGTTACTTTTAAGATTAGAGATAAGATGTCAAATTACAAATATATAACAATGTAAATAAAGAAAATGAGGAAAAAAAACGAAACACACATACATGTATAAATACATGTATAAAATGTAGTTCAACAGAGTTATTAATGTGGTATGAAGATAAAGTAAATAATGATTTAACAAAGTTGTAATATATACACGAAGAAAGAAAGAAAAAATCAAATTTTGTGATTCCATTGAGACTATTATACACAATATATATACATATAAAATGAAGTATATGTATTATGATAAATGTGTTAATGTCGTTTTGGTTCATCATAGTGGATTGTACGTTGAAAAAGTGGATTTCCATACCCTATTTTATGATTTTATCTATAGCGAAGACATTAAAAAAGTTTCAGAAACTATTAAACGAAGTATATTTTACTGCTCAATAAATATAACGGCTAAATCTTATATAGATACCATAAATTACAAACACATGGCTAATGTACATGTATTTATACCAGTTTAAAAGTCTATAAAATGTCCTCATAAGTTTGATAATAAGTTTAAAGTTAAAAGACACATTATTCCAAAAAAAAAAAGAAAAGATTTTTCCCTTTTTAAGACTGGGCACACTTCAATTTTGTAACAGTTAACAGTTAAATAATGGATTGAGAGCATGTTAATTGCTTATTACCTGGAGAAAGTTGTGCTGAATGTAAATTATTTGTCTTAAAAGAAACGACCTAGTATTTTGACTTCCATACGAAATACAAAATCACTATATCTCTGCTTATTGTCAAAAGACAACAGAAGCAAAAATGATAGGTTCAGGTAATTGACCAATGAGTAATATTTTGGTTTCTTTCAGGAAGGAAAATGGCTTCATCACTATCATCCACTCTTGAATTCGGATCGGAAGAAGATACTCAACTGTTTTGTCAACCTTGTGATAGAACCGGTCGAAGACTTTACCCTAGTGGCTTTTGTACAACATGTAAAGAATATCTTTGTCAAGCCTGCATTAGCAACCACAAAACGTCCAAATCTTTTAGACAACATGGTCTTCTTAACAGCGATAAAATGCCTAGGTCCACACTAACCGCCCGGTCGTACTCCGACTCTGACGCGTTTGATGAGCTAGATTTACACTGTGAAAAACATTCTGATCAATTATCTAGTTTCTATTGTCGATATCACGAGGCTTTGATTTGCAACACATGTAAAAATTTAGACCACAGCAGAAAAAATTGTTCCGTTATTTACATACCAGATCAGTCTGATCAAACTCTTGATGGACCGGAATATGATGAAACTATAAGATTTTTAGAAGCATTTATAAAAAAAAGTGAACAGGAAAGAGGAAAGTATAAAGCATTGACAGAAAAGTCGAACGCCTCTTTAGAAGAATCAGTTGAAGTAATGAAAAACTTTAGGAGAGATTTAGATAAACAAATGGATGATCTAGAAAAGGCATTTACAGATGAAGTTAGAAAAGTCTCGCAAAATACTTATATGAATATGAGAGAGATAGATTCAACGTGTAATAACGTGATAAAATCTACTAAAAATTTATTAAAAGATGTAAAGGAGCTGAACGAAACGAAACAGGGAAATAAACTCTTTAAGGAATTGATATTAGCTCGGCAAACGATAAAAACGAATGTAAATTTTTTAGAAAGTAAGCTGAAAGGTACGGATTTATCAACTTTTGCATTTGAGCCGAATAAAGCCCTTGAGCGTATTGTTCTGCAGGAAAAGTCGATTGGGAAGCTTGTTGTTAAACTAGAACACTCGGTAAATCCAACAAACATTTGTGCCAAGGCGCCAGATGAGAGTAACAAATGTTGGATAACAGGAATGGCTTTGCTTTCTTCAAATGTTCTAATTTTGACAGATTTTCTTAACAAATCGGTTAAGTTGGTAAACGTGAACAATAAAATGGTCATTTGTCAGATTAGTGTTGTTTGTCCGCCGTGTGACGTGACAAAAGTTGCATGTGACGAGGTCGCTGTTTCAGTCCCAGAAGACGAAAACATTATTCTTATAAAAGTTATTTTTGAAAAGCTTGTGATAAAGCAGCGTTTAAAGGTCAAAGGTAATTTTTGTAGAATCAGCTATTGTTCTGGTAAAGGTTTTGTTGTAACCTTTGACAGCCCGGCAAAACTTGCGATTTTGGACACCAAAGGAATTCAGAAGTTGACAGTAACAAAAGATGAAAAGGGAAAAGATATATTTGCCGGTCCAGATTACGTCACGACCAATAATGAATACATTTTTGTATCCGATAGAGTCAGGCAGGCGGTAATTCGGTTATCTTGGAAAGGGGAGGTAACTGGCATCTTTTTTTCAGGAGAGTTACAGTGTCCACAAGGGCTGGCGCTTTCAGATGATGGGACAGTGTTTGTTTGCGAAAACAGTTCAAACAAGTTACTCGCGGTTTCGCCAGACTTGAAGAAAACTTCCAATGTGATATCGGTCGTAAAGAGACCATGTGCCGTATGTTTTTGTGACAAAACCAAACGTTTGTTCGTCAGTGCCATGACTCAAAAAGCTCACGACAACTACGTGCACATTTTCAGTCCCAACTTGCACTTTTAGTTAAAAATAATTAGATCTTTATGACAGGTTTCGAGGAATTTTTGTTTTGAGTTGAACGTAAAAGGTGTGGAAATTGTATCTTAAGTTTGTCATTGTAAGTGATTTCATTTCATTCTGAAAGTGACATTACGCCCATCCAAGGGTATATAGCGAGTGAAAAGGTGAATGTCAAAATAAGTTTACATTTTGCCATAAATGACAATACGCCAGAGAAGAGATTGTTCCGCCCACTGATTCACGTGACCCAGTCACTCAGAACCTTAGACAATTTTTACCGAAGACGTTACCGAAGTTTACGCGAAACTGTTATGCCACTAAAGTTAATGCTTTTTATTGAATATTTCAATGTGTTATGGAATTTAAAAAAGTAACAAATAACTGCCTTCATGCATTAATGAATAAAACGTTTGGCAAAGCTCGTTGACTTCAAGGAAGATGTTACTGACAAAATATCATTTTAGTTTACAAAATCAAAGATAGTTAAAATTGAAGAACATAATTATAAACAGTAAAATTATATCGATGAAACAGTAACATTTACAAATGTTTTAGGGTTTTATGTGCGAAATCACTTATACATAATGCATTTGTGCATAAATCGTTAAAATTGAATGAGAAAAATTGCCCTTGCGTTACTTTGATGTATGATATATAATTATATGTATATTTGTACATTAAATATGTTTTGTGATAAAACGCAATATTATTCTTCGCATACACCAAACCTCGGCTTTAAATTAAAACTGTGATCTGATCAGATATGATGTTCTTGAAGCAGATGTATTTAAATATATAGTCTTAATTCATTGAGCTTTAATAGAAATATTTGAGTAGGATAATTTCACCTGCACATTCTCTCATTTTATTTGCAAGTAATTTTTTTCTACTGCAGCATTTTATTGACACTATGTTATAAACGAACAAAAAATGTCATTCTGGGTCCTTATAATATAGTATGTGATTATGAAAAGACATAATTGTAATGAAAGAAGCTAGGACAGAGTATTTGTTTATTCTTTTTCCTTTTTAATGCATTAATTGTGGTATAGCCAGGTATACTATAAGTATATAACTTATTATCTTCATATATACATAGTTACTGATAAATAATTATATATTTGTAAAACGTACTTACTGACTACATCTGTCAATATGTCAGAATATTTGTAACTTAGATAAACCGATTTAATAGCTTTAAATTGACAAAAAATCAAAATAATTTCAATAAAAATACTGCTGCACCATTGTCTTGTACAAATAGCTTGTCTAAGGAAAATGGCGGACTTCGCAGACATCATTCTTAGCGTTCGCCGATTGGCTTATCTGTAAGACCCCTGCCAGCTTGATCGACAGGCGGCGTAACTTCGTACGAATGATAAATGACTTACGTGGACGTAAATATCCGTCGGAAATTAGCAGTAACATTCAATTAATAAAAAGAGTGAGGCAGTCTTTTTTAAATTTTAGTCAGGTTTAAATTGTATCTTAAAGATTTTCCAGGATCAAATGTTGCTCAATCACCATAATAACAGTCACTCATTTGACAAATATAGTTAATTCATCTCCACTTGACAATGAAAAAATGAGCAACAGCCATCTGAGAAAAGACAAAACTAAAGGGATACCCCCCTTCCAAAAAACAAAACAAAAACAAAACAACCACAAAACAACAACAACAAAACAATTACATGTATGTGTAACGCATATATTGCTTTTCAATATAAAATAATCCCTGAAATGTCCAACTAGTTGAAAGAGAGTATATAATATAGCGCTAGTTAACAGGGTTTTAAATTACTTGAGTTTTTATAGACCCTAAGTAGAATATCATCAAAAGATAAAATTTCACCACAGGCTCGTACATTTCGTATGTATAGATGATTAATACACGTCTTGTCCGACGAAAAAACATTTAAGAATTTGCAATGTTTACCCTGCTATAAAATTAAACCGTTTCAAACTTTTTATTTTGTAAATATTGACTTAAATTATAAACACACCCTTATAACTGATTACAAGTAGATCTATTGGTTGCGGATAGAACAATTTTGCGCTTGGTAAGTTTTTCCTGTAAAATTTACAGGGAAGAACTGAATATAGGAAAAGTTTTCATTGGTCATTTTAAAATTACAAAATGAAATCTTGGGATCTCATTGGCAATTCTAAAATAATATGTAAAGGATAGTTCTAACTAAAATGTAAAGGATCGTTCTAAAATAAAATGTACAGAACAGTTCTTTATATGATAATATGATGATGTTTATAATTTTCATATATTTTTGCATCTTAATCAAGTATTTGTAAAAACATTTGTCGTACCGACTGTTCACTTACCGAAACACGACATATTTGTTTTGTAATACATACATACATGTAGGTGTTTCATTTTTCAAGATAAACAACCCTATAAGAAATTATTATGTTATTGTTAAGCAAGCTATGATAAAATTTCTATATGACTTTGCAAGGAAAACTAAAAACTAACATATGCAAGTTAACCAGTTTTACTTCGGCCGAGTATATTTTTTAAAGATACTGCACAATATATCATAGAAAATTATGTCATAAAAGACAAAAAAAAACATATCTTGGTAATGCAGTTTAAAACTGACTTTTATATAGTAAGTTCTAACTGCATCAATCTGTCCTTCTCGCTACATGTCTACGGGTGTGATAATAGGGGTGTTTATATGTGTCATTAGTGAAACATAAGAAGTGTTAGCTTACAGGTATGTCATGGGAACTGCAAGCCTATTTAAAAGCCGTAAACAAATATGTTAGACCAGTTTTGTGCGGGAGAGTAGCTTGATAAGTGTGATGTTACAAAAGATTTGCTAGTAAGGATGCGCATTTAAAGAATATATTTCTTAAACACAACCAAAGTGTATCTCAATGCCATCATTAAACAACTGTATCATATCATATACATTTTGTGAACTTGTACTTTTTTTGGTTGTGTTTTACGTCGCATCAACGCATTAGATGTCAGATGGTGACTTTCCGGGTTTACTGGTTGAGTTAACCTCTGTACATTCATTAAAATATAATATATATGAGCCGCGTCACGACAAAACCAACATAATGTGTTTGCGACCAGCATGGATCCAGACCAGCCTGCGCATCCGCGCAGTCTGATCAGGATCCATGCTGTTCGCTTACTAACTCTATTACAAGTGGTGAAACTGATAGTGAACAGCATGGATCCTGATCAGACTGCGCGGATGCGCAGGCTGGTCTGGATCCATGCTGGTCGCAAACCCATTATGTTGGTTTTGTCATGACGCGGCTCATATTACAAATACACATACCATCCAGCATTTAGAAAATCAGTATGATAATACGCGTTTGACTTGGTAATACATTACCGACGTAATAGCCATTATAATAACTCAAATAATTTTCTCTAATTTTGATTGGCTGTTAGTGAAACAAGTTGCTGACGGGAAATACGGGAAGATATAGCCTGAATGAGTCTTGCGCCTAGAGTCAAATTCATCTCATCCAGCCTAAAGTCTCCGGTATCTTGTATAACTTAATAGTACAGAGTGTAAATAACCTCTCCATGTCAAATCCTGTGCTTGTGAAATTCATCCAATCAAATCAAGATACTTCCATAGAAACCATATGGTATCATTCATTGAGGACCTGAGATTCACATGGTAAATGTCATTTCATGCAAACTTAGGAAAATCATACAAGAAAGAGACAAACAGATCTAGTGATTTATTTCTTAAGTAAGTTAAACATGTGGGTAGCAACAGCAGCATAAAAGAAAACATAACTGTGAAGCAAAATGACAAATCACATATTATAATAATAATTTAAGGATAAAGTAATAATTCACGGATAAAGTAAACAGACAAAGTAAACGACAATAACATAGACTATTAGGCCTAAAACATCATATAGCATACTCAACACATATCTAACCAAAATCAAACAAGAGATATAGTGTTTTGGATCATTTAAACATGAAGTTTGTACTGAGGTAATATGTACAATGTAAAAATATGACTCATTTGAAAAATAGAAGAAAACAAGTAGAACAGAGTGTCCATGTGACCTTGACCTTGGACTTTGTGACCTTAAAATCAATGGGCAATGTCAATACGAAGTCTTTAAAACCTAGGCTTATTTCTTCTCAAGGTCTCTAGAGATGCAGGGAACCAAGGAGTTGGAATAGGTCAAAGGTCAGAAAAAAGCACAAGCATTTTCAGGTAGTCAAGGAGACAAAAAGATCTTCACCTTTGAATCAAAAACAATTCAGGTTACATAACTGATCCACAATAAGTTTATTTTTTCTTTGTTAAGACAATAAAATGAATGCCAACATGACTTTTGCCCCAAAGTGCTCCAAAACAAGAATGCACAGGTAATCATCACGTTAATTTTAACCACTATAGATGCAATTATTCCTTAATGGATGCACAGAAATTCTTTTCAATTAGGTCACTATAACATTGACCTTTTACCTACGATAAAAACAAATGTGCCCTACTGATGGTCACAGGCAATCATTCTATTAGGCTTTACTGTTGATGCAATATTTCCGGATTATTGTAATGAAATGACATGGTCTACAGACAAGCTAGTCAAGTTTTAAATGCAATGAATTATCTCAAAGCAACCTCATATTTAAAGGCCTAAGGATAAACACAGATTTATATTATTAATATAAATCCGTGGGATAAAGTAACATAACAATATACAAGTAAGTCGGTTTCCATGGTTGAAAACTCAGAATGCTTGTTAATTTAACAAACTATAAAATGAAATAACAGCGCTCTTTTATTCTTGAATCAGACATATATTTAATTATATCACAGTAAAAATAAAACATAGAGAAAAACGTAACATAAAATTAAATAATAAATTTGATATAAAACCTAGAAATAACAAGTGATGTAAAGCTATTTATATACAGTTTTGTTTTTTTACAACAATTATGCAAGAAAATTTTTACTTTACAATAAAAATTTTGTTTTTTCCTAATTCTTTCCTCTTAAGCTCTCTGACACTTTTCAATAAATAACTTAATATGTACATATAATTTCTGAAAAAAAATATTCACAATGGAAAAACATTAATTTTTCTTCTATAATAAATGCTTTTTAGAATCAAAATTTTTCCTTTTAAGTTTATTCTAATATTTGTTAAATCTATTATGAAGGCTTTAACATGTTTTGAAAAATATACAGCATTATGCTTTTAACTTTTTACATTTTAATGAATTATATATTGTATTTAATAATTTAACAAAATCTGCAGATTAACAACTTCTGAAACAAATGAGCCGCGCCATAACAAAACCAACATAATGCGCTTGCAACCAGCATGGATCCAGACCAGCCTGCGCATTCGCACAGTCTGATCAGGATCCATGATGTTCACTATCAGTTTCTTTACTTGTTATAGGGTTTGTAAGCGAACAGCATGAATCCTGATCAGACTGCGAGGATGCGCAGGCTGGTCTGGATCCATGCTGGTCGCAAACGCACTATGTTGGTTTTGTCGTGATGCCAAATTTTAATATTTTTGTTTCAACCCAAAGATCTGAATAACAGTGTAGAGGTTTTGTTTTATTTGGGTGGAAAAAACAAAGTTCATTAAATTTTGGAAACTGATAAACTGTAACCATTATAACAGTAAATTTAACAAATAAGATTATTTCTTTCATTATTTTTAAACAAGACAAATAATATCCTGTCTTTAAAGCAGCATGCCTCCAGATTCATACACATTTTCACAGAATTTTGAAAATGTATTTAAGTAAAATATTGTGAAGTAAAGATAATTTACAATTGCAAATGGCACTAACAATTACATTAAGTACCAAAAAGAGGTCAAAATATGCAAAAATAGCCCTTACTGCAAAAGTCATAAGTGCATAGACACTGCATAAGTCACACAGTAGAAATACATGTATTGTGCTAAATAATGAAAAATCAGTCAATAATCCTACATAACATGTAAATCATTACTTCAATCTTTTAACTTTTCTTAAATTCAAAATTTTTTAGTACACCTTCCTCAAGTTTGATTTTCTTGAAATAATTTCGCTCATCTGCAGGATTGTAGCCTTAATTTCAAATTATTTCTAACACATGAAAGCATAACACTGTCACTTACAATATCTTCAGCCAATCAAACATACAAAAATATAAAGAACGGAAAATATAGTTCTAATCTGCTAGTACAGGTAATGTTATGAAGAAATACTCAAAATGAAAGGAAAATTTGCATAATTCATACATGTATTTTAGTTGCTATGACAACTATATATATCTGATACCAACCATGGAAAGAATAGTTAAATCAGGCTAAATTTGAATCAAAGCAAACAAGTTTTTTGAATATAATGAAAATCAATCAATCAATATGAAACAATATTCTTCCTCATCATAATAAAAATGAAATTTCAAAATTCTCAACTTCTAACATTTGTTTCATAAGATAAGATCATTAATGATCAAACACATTGTAACTTTCATCATGGAAAATTTGGCAACAGAAGACTGAAGATACAATGTTACTTGTAAAGTTTATAGTATCCATAAATCATTATAAAGGAGCAAATTTTAATAAGTAACTTTATAAACTATTATAAACTGTCAAAATTACATACAAGAGTTGTCAATCGGACAGCCAGCATAGACTACTCTCAGTGCTTGATTGTAAAACAAGAGTCTTGACAATGTAGGAATTAACAAAAGAGATTACTTATTCAAAATATGATGTACATGACATAGTGCAAGCTCTTTGTGCAAGTTCACAAAGAGCCATCTTTTGTTCAAAATCCACATCAAGAGATACGAGTCTTCGGAAGTGACCGAGATTAAAATCCCAAAGACATGTAATTGAATGAAGTTTCAAAATTTTTAATGAATATCAGCAGTAGTTTCAGAAAATTTCAAACAAGAATTTTCTTATTTTGTATCCTAAATGTTACATTATACAAATGTCATTATTACAATATAAGACTTTTTGACCACATATAATGTCATCTCCAAATACAATTTCTTACAAATTTTACATGACAATAATAATAAATACATTTTTTGTTGCATAACAAAATACAATGAGATCACTATGAAAGCTCTATGAATCCATGAAAAAAAGTTGTCATAAAGAAATGTTTGACTATCATTTGAGATAACTGGCCTTTATATTCAGCATATATTTCATACAAAATGATCACTGGATACAGTTATTAATTAATATACTGCTGACTTTAAAACATACAATGCTGACTTTAAAACATACAACCTATCATTTATCAGTCTTGAAATAAACCTGAATATATTATGTAATGCCAGTAATGGACATGCCCAGTTTCTATTTTTGCACTGTCGATTGTCAATATTAGGTATATCAAGATGAAGTGTTACCTATGAAAACAACAGATAAATTTAAAACAACAATACGTTGAAAGGGTCTTCAAAAATAAACTAAATTTTATACATTAGTTACAATGTATCAGTTCCATTATAAAAACATTCTAATTCTATCATTATAGTCCATCATGTCTCAAACTTTGAATGAATAAAGAGAAAATTATCCTTAAGTGTTTGTTAACCCATTACTTCATATACACGCCTTTTAACGCCTTTTTCACCCCCCCCCCTTTTTGTTGTCTCAAATGATGAAAAAATGCCTTATTTAGGCCCCAAACACTTGTTTTTGTTTGAGAAATGTTGTTAAAAAAAGTGACCTCTTTTTCGGCGCGGCCCCCCAACCAAAAGATACATCAGGGGGTTGCCAGAAGGGGGATGTGCCCCCTTCTGTTTGGGGGGTTTGAAGGGGGGTGGAGTCCCCCTCATCGCCAAGAAAATTTTGGACTTGTGAGAGGCTGTAAATGACCCCAGATTGATCATAAGGTAACGTGTTACCAACGCTGAAAAGCATTTGACTCTATCTCAATCCATTGAGAAGTTGCAGCACTTTGAAATCAATTTTGATGGAAAAAATCAACGCAAAATAGTGATTTTTGGCAATTTTGAGATGTCCCCTCGTTGCCATGGTAACAGAAAATTTAAGCCTGAGCATGTTGTTGCAAGGGCAATGGTCCAGTCAACATTTGTGCCAAGTTTGATTAGTGTTGAAGCAGTTTTTATAGTATTATAGCAATTTGAACTTGTAACGGGAGACTTTTCAATGAAAACAGCCATTTTTCACAAAATGCTCATGAAGCAATGGGTTAAGTACAAAATTTATCCAAATTTTAAAAGAAATTTCAAAACTGGAAATAAAAAGTGAGGTTTATATGGTGTTTATGATTAGAATAATAAAATTGTAAATCTTTGATATATATATACTACAATACAAAGGATATTGTGAAGTATTCAAGATAATGAAGAAAAATATACATGCATATTTATATATATCCTGACATCTCAAACAAAACTTACTGTAAATGACTAAATAAGTTTCTTAAAGCTTAAGCTGAACGTCTATTAAACTTAACCAACACAAATTTTTCAAAATGCAACATGTAAAACTGGAAATATAAGTCCTGATATAAACATTATATTTGTATAATTTAAGTCACCTAAACTAACTATGGTAGATCCAGAAGTTTGTTTTCCTTATACAAATTCTCCACAACATTAAATATTTGCATGCCAAGAGCTCCCGTCTCTCCAAGAACCCTTTCCGTCTCCTTTACATCATGCATCTTCAACTTCTCCATGAAGTGCTTGCGGGACGGTATCGTGTACACTGCAACATCCACACCTTTCCTGATGATCCATGGATGATGTTTTGATAAGGTACGATAATAACTCTTAGAGCAGACGCTTGAGAGTTTGGCATGTTCATCTGAATCCTTCACAGCGATCAGGAAGTCGGAGATGAACTCTAGAGCTCGATGGAGTCTCAGTAACGTTCTGCATCCAGATGCTTTCTTCTTATTATTGGTCGTGTTTGTTTCCACTTCATATTTGATCATGCTTTGTATAGTTTTAAAATGGTCGCCAATGTCAGACTTTCGATAGTCTCTAAGAATTCCAATTTTTTCTACAACATCTGAATTGACAAATCCAAATACAGCTCCCATCAATCTGAGCAACCTGAAAAGAAGAAAAAAATGATATTAAATAATTACAATATATGTTCAATGTGAATCTTTTTGGCATTTTAATCCTTAAAGTTGACAAGAGGTGTAAAACAATAATAAAAGCTTTTGGGTCCCCTAGAAAAGGAATGATTACTGTCATTAAATACTGTTTACATTACATGTAAAAACATATAATGTCAGTAAATTATTTGAGACAGCTTGCATCAGAAAGAAATTCGGTATCAAAAAATAAATAAATAAATATCTATTTCATTTTCCTAATCTATTTTACTAAAAATATAGTTTTGGAAAAAAAAAAGATCATGAAATCAATGAACTGCTGGTTCACCAGTAACACGGGCACAGACTCATCACTTAGTGCTGTAATCTAGCAAATTTAACAACATAACAATTGCTGATTTTCTGTTCAGTTCATATGCTTACTATCGTTATGGTAAACCTAAATTTTGTATATCCAGAATTTAATGTACATTCATTTTAAAAGGCTGATATTCTTTTTTTTATAATTTCATTTCAAATACATTTGCAACGCTTGTAATTAAAGTCAATCAGGGTTTTTTCTCAGGATTTTAGGAGCTTGACCCATACCCATGGAATTTGGAATTTCAGCGATATTTATAATTTTGTTAAAAATAGTGAAAAAATGCATGACTGACAATTTGCAGTGATTAAATGAATGCAAACAATCACTGTCTAGGATGTTATCTTCAAACATTTAAGCACTGTAACATTGAAGAAGCCCTTATTTTCAAAGATTTTAGAGTTCTTTATTCAATATTTTTATTTTGTAACTTTCAATTGGGAATTTTTTCCTGTGGATTGGGAAAATATTATACTATTTTCAACTAGGAATATGACCGAATATCCGCTATAAAACAAGCCAAAAAAATCCCTGTTATTTGAAAAAAATAAAATGATCAATAAACATGATTAAAGAAATTGTTTGGCAACTGTTGTAAATATCCATTTTTTTCCCCTATGACTCATGTACAGCAAGTCTGGACACACTGTATTGTCTAGCCTTACGGCACTTTTCAAAATTATATGAAAGTGAAAATGAAAAAGTACCAAAAATAATTGTTGTTGTGTTCTGATAATTGCATCAATTACTGACAGTAGAAGTTTGTCCATCATTATACAGTAAGGAAAGTTTGCATGTTCCGTGAAATGCATTCTAAAAGTCCTGTACTATAGGCTTTAATTTAGGGTAATTGATTTTGCTTTTATGTTGAAAATGAATAATCAATTCAAAAATTCAATTATAGCTCATATATTGTTTTTTTGTGGGTTTTTTTGTATTTTTTTTTCAATGTTCTATTTATTTATTCATTCCATTCAGATCATGCTGTTATGAAACAAGCTTCTTTGGCTGTTATGATTATTCATTCCATGTGCTTAATCAACAAAAAATGATTTAATAATTAATCTTTCATACAAAAAAAACAACAATAAAAATCTTATATAATCATAAAAAACAAAAACGTTTTAACTTAAACTATTTATTATTTAATCATTGATATAACTTTGCATACGCATATATAATGTACTTTGTATAATGCGTAATGTAACTTTGACACTTTTATCGCGATGACAATGCTATCCTTATTTTCCTTCTTTTCCTTTTTTTACAAAGCATTTTTAATAAAGTCTGAGGACAAAAGCGGGTCCTTGGTTAAAATCCTCGTTTAACGAAACAAAAGTACATAATTATGCATTTTCGACTTTCATATAATTTTAAAAAGTGCCGTACGGTTAGACAATACAGTGTGTCCAGGCTAGCCAAACGAGACTCACTTACGGGTAGAACTTTTGGCTAGCCGTAAGGACCCGTTGACTGTTTATTAAAATAAATATAACTTCCTAACCTTTTCCGTGTCGTCTGCAAATACATTGTTTAATTTTTAAGTATTTATTTACCTTGAATGGGATCTTAGTTATTGTGCACGGGCATTCATTTTAAATGTCTTTGTCTTGAGATGTGCTGTGTGTAGGAATGGATGTGGAACTAAGTGCAATTTGTGGTGGACTGACTTTTTTAAATGAGTGCAAAAAATAAATAAATAAATAAATTAAAAAAAATAAATAAAAGAAAATGCAGAAATATTTAAAGGTAGTAGATCCATTTACAACTTGAAATCATTTGTTTGAAAGTTATATTTCCAAAGCAGGAAGAAAATATTAATAGAAGTAAATCACACTGATCAATAAAATCAATATTCGCGAATTCATGTTAAAAAAACGGATTTTATATATCAACAATCAATTTGAAACAGAAACTGATACTTACTTTGAAATCTCATCGTATGCATGCACATAATTATCCAAACAAATTATTTCTGATTCATCGTAGCAAGCGTTTAACAGGTCGTTTAACCTTTGCAGATCAAAGTGGTCCGACTCTGACGCCATTTTGGGCTGAATAGTACTTTCGGTTTTGATTTGTTATAAAATCTTGTGATTGTGTAAATATTGCAAGAGTATTTTTTTAAATTCATTCCTATATATAAATTAATAACCAAAGATTATCTTAACTCAAAAAATCGTATCACATAAGAATTGGAAATAGTAATATTTTTCAGAACCGAAAGTACAAATTATTCAGTGCAGAATTGCAACATGTCAGCTTCCATAAACAAGAGAAACCTTTCAACAAAAAATAAGGTTTAATGCTATAAAAACGCGAAAACAATGGCAGAGATTACGATTACACCTTTAGGTTTGTCTTTTTAAAGAATAATTTTGAACCTTTTAAGTAAAATGTTGTCTGTCAACTGATACCTTACCAATTTGTGATGATCATATGATAGAACTAGTCTTGTTTTGATACCAGTGTTGCATCTTGAATTTAAAATTATTGGGGATTGTACCCCACTTAACTGAAAAATGTGGGGGATTTGAAAAAAATATGGGGCACATGCATTTACCTTACAGTTAATGCATCACAGGGTGAGAATAATGCGTCATAGGGTGAGAAAAATGTGCAGCCTGACCGGACGCGAACCCGCGACTTTAGAATACCGTACCGCTACTCTACTGACCGGTATTAATAGAATGCGAAATGGACTCCATTTCGCGAAATGAACTTTTCGACTACGAAATGGACATTAAATGTTTCTTAAATTTTGGTTTAAGTGTACTATTTAATATCATTTTTAATAACGAACAAGTGATATATGACATAAAATTACTATTTAAATAATTTTGGTAATATTTTTTTCATTATTTAAGAAAACAATCGTATAATAATGCCACATAGTTATATGAACAGTGTATTATACAATGTCTTTCAAATATAGAGATTCTGTTTTATATCATATGTTTAACCTGGGAAAAAAAATATTTGTTGTCCCAGATTAAACGTAAGTGAATAGAAAAGATACCCTTTGTGACATGTCAGTTACACCATAATTTGTAAAGTAAATGTCCATTCCGTAAGCGAAAACTCCATTTCGTGGCCGAAAAATCCATTTCGTAGAGGCCAGAATATTTTCAGAAATATGACTATAAAATAGGAAAATAGTAATAATTTAATTGGCTCAATCTGTAGTTTTATGTCATATGTTAAACATAAATTAATAAAAATAATATTACTCATCACGGTTAAACAAACAAATGTCCATTTCGTAGGCGGTAAGTTCATTTCGCGAAATGGAGTCCATTTCGCTTTTTATTACAACCCTCTACCGACTGAGCTATCCGGCCGCTTACACATCTTCTACCGAAATAGTGAACAGTTCCGAACCGTGACAAATGTATATTAGTTTATGCATTTTTTGACAGTAATTGTCTGCTCAACAACAGAAACAAAAAAATTAAATATTGACGACTATTAAATATTGACGAATACTAGTAAAGTGTGCAGATCTAACCATCAGTACTGTGCTCTTGCATATTAACTGGATTGTCTGATGCGCAATTTGGCGAGCATTGACTTCATTAAAATGTGAAATCTGCAAAAATTATGTGCGAAATGTGCAATCACACAGCCTAGATGCAACACTGGATACAATTTACATATACTCATGGATTGCAAAGAAAATCCCATTTACCATCAAAACTTGTAAAGATCTAAACTCAGTAATGTTAATGTTCAAGCAATCATCTGTGAGTAAAAATATTGTGATGTGCCAAAGCTAGATTAATGTTCAAGCAATCATCTGTGAGTAAAAATATTGTGATGTGCCAAAGCTAGATTTAGAGTTATTAATGTTCTGGCTCAGCGGGGAGATATTGTCAAAGCGTAGTGCAACTATCCAAGTAATCATCAGAATGATCCTGGGTTTTTGTTTACATTGTCCTTGCTGAGCCAGGACTAATTAATGCTATACCTAATTAATTTGGCGTGACTAGTTTGACCCATTTTTTTTTTTAACCATTGGAAGACGCCTGTCCAAAATTATCTCAATGTCTCTTTAATAAGTCTAATTAGTTGGACTACACCATGTACAAGCTATTTACAATGCAATGCCAAGAACTATACTCTTATTGCTTGGACAAGAAATTTACTTTTGTAATCATTATTTTGGTATCATATAATGGCGTAATATGACATATAAATGTAATGGTAATATGACATATAAATGTTGAAAGAGATTGCTTATTGTATGTTAATTTCAGAAAATGAATATCAGAAGTGGTAATGCAAAAAAGCTAAATGATGAAAACTAAATAGTACTGATCAACATATTAGGAGTTATTTTGTATATTTTTTTCCCCATAAATTATGATTCTATTTCTTACATATGTTTGTCAGTTTATAGTTGATAATTATGTGTGTGTTGTTTTTTTCAGGTGCAGGACAAGGTGAGCTGGTTATTTTGGCATATTCATCAATATATAAAGCTAAGTTTTGAACTACAAATGTATACTCATATAGTCATTAATTCATAAGCTATAATTGAGTTACATGTCAATTTTCAGAGATAATTAAGATCATTATCAAAACTTATATTTAATAAAATTCCAGAGTTTATTGGCAATTTTTTTTTTTAAAATGAAGTTAAGTAAAAATTCATTTTTAGCTTTGTTTAGTTTTCTGCTTTGAAGTATAAGGGGAACTATTTTGATTGCTGCTGCATCGTAGTCATGCAAAAACTTTTATGTAGCCCATTTTACTCAAACAATTTAAAAGGTATTACATGAAATTTATCATCATCATGACAAGGCACAGTAGATTGACTAGGGGAATCATTCTGAAAGCTATATTATTAGAGTTATGCCCCCTTTTTTAACGTATATTTTTTACGGATGAGCGTTAACATAACATGTTTTGCTCTTGTTGATGATGATTTTTATCTCTGACAAGACCTCCTGTCAATCATATGAAGCCAAGGGATGTAAAATAGGTTTTTGTGTATGTTGTAGATGTTGGTAGAAGTTGTATTTTGGTCACAATTGGAGGGAAGAACATTATGCTGGATTGTGGGATGCACATGGGCTTTAACGATGATGTAAGTTTTTATAATGAAGGAATACTGTGTAAGCTTATAGATAATAACATTTTAGAATTTGTCTCAAATAAAGTAAATAATGTATATTAGTTGTTTCATTTTTAAATTTTACTGAATTCAGAAGTGCTGCTGAATCATTAGGTCTTTGGCATTTATAACTAAACTTGCCCCTTATATTACTGTTGGTGCTGGTAACTTTTTATTTATACAAGCAGGTATCCAGGTAGGTTGTGGAAGTTCAGTAGTTCTACTTAAGTGTTGTGCATGCATGTTTTTTTTCTGGCCCAATTTATGAGTGGATTATTGCGTCATGATCTAGTGATTTTTCTTACTTAATTGGATAAAGGCCTAAGCCTTTTGACTTTGGGAAAAATTATTGCTAAAATTGCTAATTTAAGGAAGAAAAAAAGCAGGTTTAAGTTCAGATTTTTGGGAAAACTGCATGATTTTAAAGAAAATTTCAATTTGGAAGAGGCCTTTTGTATAAGCAGGACAATCACTGTAATCCCAATGTCAAAAAATTATTTATTTTCCTTATTTTAAGAAGAAATTCCCAATTCAAGGAACAAAAAAAAAAAATAAATAAATAAAATTATTGTCATTTTGTTACATTTACGTGATTTAACTGCACTGTGCCATAGAAATTTTTTTTATCTTGCATTCCAAATTGTAATATGTGCTTATGCCAGTGCAATATAAAAGGGGTTTGATTAACCAAATATTTGATTTCATTGTGTTTTTATGTATAGAATATGTTGTCAGTTTTTCCCAATTTGTCATAAATATTATAAAATTCTCAATTATGTGGGTCGGGTCATGTTCCCAAAGTGAGAGGAAGACCCTGCATGTTTGAAATACCCCAAAAATGTGGGAACTTCCTTACAGTGTCTGCAGGACTTATTAAATGAAATATGTTGAATCACTAATTATACATTACTTTTTACAGAGGCGTTTTCCAGACTTCACTTTTATTACACGAGAAGGGAGATTGACAGAACATTTAGACTGTATAATTATCAGGTAGATATTGTTAACACATTTCTAGAGTATAATGGGCCTTTAAAACATTGTATTAATAACTTTTCATAACATCCTGTTTATACCATTCAAATACTAAAGGAATGATAAAATTTAACATAAGTTGGCTTATATTTCTCTAATTTAATACACAGTTTACTTTGGACCATAAATACCCTTCCACAATCAGCATGACAAAATAGTGGCACATACACCTGGTTGGTTGTCCCATTGTAAATATAATATACCGCAAAATTATTTTTATTTGTGGGGCATTTATTTTCGTGATTTTTATGGATAGGTTAATCCACAAATTTAAGATCCAAAGAAATTTCATTTTCTCTACTGTAAGATATTTTGCATCACTATTACATTTCGAGGGTTCAAAGGTAAAAGGTTATAACTGCCACTTTTGCCGAAATTGACTTTTTATGTTTTTTATAATGTACTTATTGTCCTTTATGTCTGACGAAAATATTATATAAGTATTCAATCCTTATAAGGGCAAAGAATCAAAAAGTATTTTGTAATAACTTCTTTTCTACAAATTATTTAGGGGTAAAAGGTTCTAAGTGTACTTATTACCTGTTGTTTACTTGTTGCTCCACATGTTGTGAAGAATCTGTAGTGGAAAAAGGTTATAACTGATTTTATCACCTTTTTCTCCTGACAGAATGCTGCATTCATACAGTTCACAGGCACTATCTGTTATCTCTTTTTCCAGGAAATTTATCTTTTAGAATTAAATGCAGCGAGAATATAACCGAATATGAAAGACAGAAAATATTCAGTACATACTGGTAAATGGTTGATTACATAAGTCAGAGGCAATTCATTTGTTTCCATGTTGCCAATAAAGAACAAGGGAATGTATCTAAACAGAGAACAAAACAAAGAACTATTTCGAATTGTTTTTCACACAGGTAGAAAAGAGGGCGTGAGGGATGTTGCACTTATTCATTATCTCTCATGTACAGACTCAATCAAACCGAGTCTGCAATTTTTATGTAATTTTGTTGTGATTAATGCTTCCGAGGGATCACTTTGTTTCCAGAATTTTTTACTAAAAACTATCGATGCGGTTCCAAAACAGTTGCAAACGCAGTTAAGCACAAAGTGGCAGGGTTAAATGTTGGAAATGACAAGAGAGGGAAAGCTGTGCCTGGAAATAAAACCACGGAATATCACAGATCATTTGTAAAGAAACACAACGAAAGCTTTCCGACTGTTGAATCACACTACATACGAAGACCCCAACAGAAAGTATCTAACGCAAGATTTAAATATAAAACGAATATACTCACTGAATGTAGAAAAATGCAAAGGACAAAATAGAAAGTGTGTTTCAGAGGCTGTGTACAGAATCATTTTAGTACAGAATATAACTTTTTTCTTCCGTCCTAAGAAAGATCAATGTCCACTCTGCAATCTGTATGACACTTTGAGAATAGAAGATAGACTAGATGAGGTAACAAAAGCAAAATATCAAGTACACCAAGTGACCAAAAAGAAAAAAACAGTGCTAGAATGAAAAAATCAGCCGATAAAAAACGCACAAAGAAAGATCCAAAGTTTTCTGTGTCTGCATATTTTGAAAACACCACTCAGTTTAATTGGTGATCTTCGTTACAAAAGAAAACTGTGTTGTTGCAATTTGTCATTCTATGAACTGGGAAATGGTAACGGGACTTGTTATCTGTTGGAGGGGAAACCAGGCTCGTGCAAAGTAGGAACTTTTGTGTACTTGTATGTAACCTCTGTTGCAAGTAAGACATCTGGTATTGAAGAAGTGACATTATATAGTAATGCATGTGGAGGACAGAATTGCAATCAGTTTGTTGCAAGTTGCTTAGTTCACTGTGTCCAAGATATACCACACATCAATGGTAAAACCACACATTTCTTGAAATTGGCCATTCATTAATGGAATGCAAATTCCATACATGCATCTATCAATCATGCAAAAAGCCTTACAATAGTTCATGTTCCATCGCAGTGGGAAACAGTTATATCCTACCAACGCCGGAAGCAACCATATATTGTCGTTCTAATAAAATACAATGACATACTAGATTACAAGTTGTACAAAGAACAAAACTTTTGCTTAATGAAAATCGATGTTGATGGTGAACGTATTAATTGGCTGAATATATATACAATACATGGTTGATTTAGGGATGGATAGGGCTTATCCGGTGAGCTAGAAAGTGTATCTTGGCGAGCTTTAGCAAGCCAAATTCACTTTCGCAGTGAACCGGATAAACCTTTTCCAGCCCGACACCAACCATGTATTTGTTTTATCCTGCTTTTAATAATGTTTTTAGAATAATTAAATGGTTTCATTCTTCTTTTTCCCCGATAAAAAAACATCTATATGTAGTTTTGTTTTGCTGCTAAACATGTGACGTTATCAAATGACGTAATGACTGGAGATAGATAAAGACAAAAATACAGTATTATGGTTTTGTGGTTAGTGAGTTCAAGGCAGTTAGGTTAATGCAGAAGAAGAACAGAAGCAAAGAAAAGTCTCTTAAGGCTCCACGAAAGGCTTATACAGAGAAGCTTCCAATATCTGCTGCAAAAGCTGATTTGATGTCACTTGTTGCCTCTGGAACAATTCCGAAGGAGTGCGAATCATACTATGAGTCATTGCCATGCAGCAAATCTATAAAAGACAAACTTTCAGTGCCTTCTGTTAGTGAGAGTGAAGAAGATGAGTGGAGGTCATAGAATAATTAATGACAAACATTCACATTTTGTGACATGAAACAGTAGTCTTTATTTACTTAACTATGATATGGGTCACTAATATCCTTAATTGCTGATGTCTGGGGTCTGTTTGACTTCAGTTCGATTATATACCAGAGAACATTCAAAATAAATGAAATTTGTAAACTTAGATTTAAGTGCGTATTTTCGTAAACTTTTTAGTTATTAATTTATTTCTGTAGAATCTAAATATTGAGCAGGTACATATTTCATATTTCTATGAATGAAAAGTGTTAATTTTGTGTACGAGTATTAATGTGCATTGTGTTAATTACATTACGTAAGGTTCTTCAAAGTAAGGACATAATTGATAAATTTGCAACAGTAACAATTACTGCAACATCTAAATTTTTCAGAGGAACAAGGCTATAACTGCACTTATAACCTTTTACCACAGTTTATCTCTAAGTTTTATTGCTAAACCTTCAGAAGTAAAAGGTCGTAAGTGCAGTTATTACCTTTTACTGCTCAAACTTGTAGTCTTGACAGGATCTAAGTACATTTATTACCTTTTACTTCTGTAAAATGATATTATTTTGATCTTAGAACTTTAAAACAAACTATAATTACAGTGTTTTATCAGCACCAAGCAATGTAAACTTAACAAAATATGATCTAATGTAGTCAACAAATATGGGAGAATCAAAATTGTTATAACAATATTACGGAAAATAAAGTTGTATGAAAAAAATATGTTTTTTGCGTTTTTCTCGAAATCTTGAAATGGCAGTTATTACCTTTTACCTTTGAACCCTCGATTTAACCTTTTGAAAAAAAAAAAAAAAAAAAAAAAAAAAAAAATTCACAAAATTCACAAAATTAAGTACCAATAAAAGTATTCTTTGTGACAAAACCATGAAAGTTATTGACCATGAAATTAAGTGAATTCATGTAGTATATGAAATTATTAGAATTTGAATTGTTTACAATTGATTGTCATCTTGAAGATTATACATGTATCAGTGATATATCATTTGGCTTTCTTACTTTTGTTACAAGGATAACAATGAAAGTTTTGTATGTGTTTCAGTCACTTTCATCTTGATCATTGTGGAGCATTACCGTACATGTCAGAGATGGTGGGTTATGACGGTCCTATCTACATGACACATCCAACTAAAGCTATATGTCCAATATTACTGGTTAGTCAAGAAATATTGTTATACATTATATAAGTGTAGTGTACATGTAGTGAAATGTAGTGTAGTGTAGAGTAGTGTTAGTAGTATATTGAAATGTAGTGTGGTGTAGTGAAGTGTAGAGTTGTGAAATTTAGTGTACATGATGAAATGTTGGTGTAGTGTATTAAAATGTAGGGTTGTGTTATGAAATATAGGTTTTGTGTTGAGAAATGTAGTGTAGTGAAGTATAGTGTAAGTGTAGTGAAGTAAAGTGTTAATGTAGTGAAGTATAGTGTTAGTGTAGTGAAAAATAGTGTTAGTGTAGTAAGGTGTAGTGTAGTGAGTGTAGTGTAGTGTAGTGTATAGTGTTAGTGTTGTGAAGTATAGTGTTAGTGTAGTGAAGTATAGTGTTAGTGTAGTGAAGTATAGTGTTAGTGTAGTGAAGTATAGTGTTAGTGTATTAGTATTAGTTTTTCATTGTAAGGTGTATCCAGAACAGAAAACATCATGTAAGCTATAATCATCATGCTATTATTATCTTGCTGCAATATATTATGAATATAGATAAGAAAATCATGTTCCTGGAAGCTTGAGATCTAAATATCAAATGAATGATGCATTGGTATTTCTTATGATTTAATAGGAAGATTTCCGCAAGATCACCGTGGATCGGAAAGGGGAGACAAACTTTTTCACCTCAGAAATGATCAAGTCATGCATGAAGAAAGTTAAAGCGGTCAATCTGCATGAAGTTATACAGGTAAATCTTTAAAAAAAAAAAAATTATTATCTGCCCTACAAGAAAATTGCTAAATGAAAGTAATAATATGTGTACCTGTCTTATTTTATGAATTTTATAGGACTAGTAAGAAGCATTTTTGTTATATAATATAGAATGAACAAAAAGGGGAAATAAACTATAGACTTAAAGTTTAAACAAAACTAAATGAAAATTTATTTAAAAGTAAAATATAAGAAGTAAACAAAGAGTTTGATATACACGTTGCAAACAGTGCTAACAATATTAGTAAATTACTAAAAAGAGGTCAAAATATACAAATATTGTATTAATCATCAGACTAAAAAACATATTACTCTTCCAACATTAACTTTTTGATCAAGAGATATTTGATAAAATACTTATGAAAAATGTGCTTATTTTAGACCAATCCACTTTAAAGTAAATGGCTTGATTTTTATGTAATATGTTATTTGATTTCAGGTGGATGATGAACTAGAAATCAAGGCGTACTATGCTGGTCATGTACTGGGTGCCGCCATGTTTCATGTACGAGTTGGACAACAGTCTTTAGTCTATACTGTAAGTGTTATTAGTCTTGTATTCTTCGTTTTAAGACTGGTTTGGTTTTAGGAACCCATATTCAAAGGCTAAAATTTGCTGATTTTTACCAAAATGATGTTAATTATAACAAAAAATTGCACAAGTTTGAGTTAATAAATATTAAAAGTTTCACAAGTTTTTTTTCAAAATTAATCGCATTTTTACACCTTTAAAATTTTCCCAGTTGGATTGACCTAGACTTTTGATGAGATGAAAAAAAAAAGTTAAGTGCAGTTATGTTTAATGATTAGATTTTTTTTGGTTCAGATACATAAATTTTTCTATAAAAAAATTGAAACTTTCTTAGAATTAGAAGTACGTAGCTGCAGTGTATTTGAGTTACGGATTTCTTTTCCTTTTTTGTGAGTAATGAAATACTAAGGAAAATTAATTTCTGGTACTAAAGACTTGCTTCAAGCCTTGGTGTAAACAAGGTTTTGTTTCAATTACAATTCAATTTCACTAGTTAGGTTAAACAAGTTTTTTATCTTGATTATGTGTTGCTATTTATATTTATTAATCCCTGTCAATTATGCTTTTTGGGATTAACCAGTGCTTGTGTCATATGAAAGAAGGATACATAGTTGTGACCAATGTTGGGTAGTCACACACCTTATCCGCTAGGCCACCAGTCCACCAGTCCACTCAAATTTCTTTATCTTACATGCGGACACATGGTGCCTAAAGCAAATAAAATTGTGTGAAAGCCATCTTATTGTATTTCTCTTTTTATGTTTATCTTATACTGAAGTTTTTATTAAGAAACAAAGTTTATTTCATTTATTCATCTATAGGGTGATTATAATATGACTCCTGACAGACATTTAGGGGCTGCCTGGATAGATAAATGCCGCCCAGATCTGCTTATTACAGAATCTACATACGCCACTACAATACGAGAGTCCAAAAGATGCAGGGAAAGGGACTTTCTCAAGAAAGTACACGACTGTGTTGAGAAAGGTGGAAAGGTTATTATTGCAAGCTTGATCATTCCATGCTAAATGCTAAATTTAACATTATTTTTTATAGAAATTTCCGTCTCATAAATTGTAAGTTTTGATGTTTGTATGTTTAATTTACAATATGTGTACAAAGGTATATATTATATTATGCGAAATATGTCATCTGTTTTAAAGTAATTAAGTATGCCTTCTGTTTGTAATGCCAACTGCCATAATGACATGTGTGTTACCAGTATTGAGCCAAGGCAGCTTACATGTTTGTGCTGTCAGACTTTTGTGTCTGTGCTGTCAGACTTTTGTGTCTGTGTTGTCAGCCTTTTGTGTCTGTGCGGTCAGACTTTTGTGTCTGCTGTCAGACTTTTGTGTCTGTGCTGTCAGCCTTTTGTGTCTGTGCTGTCAGACCTCTGTCTGTGTTTGTGTTGTCAGACTTTTGTGTCTGCTGTCAGACTTTTGTGTCTGTGCTGTCAGCCTTTTGTGTCTGTGCTGTCAGACCTCTGTCTGTGCTGTCAGACTTTTGTGTCTGTCCTGTCAGACTTTTGTGTCTGTCCTGTCAGACCTCTGTCTGTGCTGTCAGACTTTTGTGTCTGTGTTGTCAGCCTTTTGTGTCTGTCCTGTCAGACCTCTGTCTGTGTTTGTGTTGTCAGACTTTTGTGTCTGTTGTCAGACTTTTGTGTCTGTGCTGTCAGCCTTTTGTGTCTGTGCTGTCAGACCTCTGTCTGTGCTGTCAGCCTTTTGTGTCTGTGCTGTCAGACTCTGTCTGTGCTGTCAGACTTTTGTGTCTGTCCTGTCAGACTTTTGTGTCTGTGTTGTCAGACTTTTGTGTCTGTGTTGTCAGCCTTTTGTGTCTGTGCTGTCAGACCTCTGTCTGTGTTTGTGTTGTCAGACTTTTGTGTCTGCTGTCAGACGTTTGTGTCTGTGCTGTCAGCCTTTTGTGTCTGTGCCATCAGACCTCTGTCTGTGCTGTCAGACTTTTGTGTCTGTCCTGTCAGACTTTTGTGTCTGTCCTGTCAGACTTTTGTGTCTGTCCTGTCAGACTTTTGTGTCTGTGCTGTCAGACTTTTGTGTCTGTGTTGTCAGCCTTTTGTGTCTGTGCTGTCAGACCTCTGTCTGTGTTTGTGTTGTCAGACTTTTGTGTCTGTGCTGTCAGCCTTTTGTGTCTGTGCTGTCAGACTTCTGTCTGTCCTGTCAGACTTTTGTGTCTGTCCTGTCAGACTTTTGTGTCTGTGCCGTCAGACCTCTGTCTGTGCTGTCAGACTTTCATGGTGTTGCTGTCTGGCTTTTATGTTTGTGCTGTCAGGCTTACATACTTGCATATACATGCTTTCAGTCTTGACTCTACACTGTTATTGACTTTATTGTTATCATTTAACGGGAGTAAAATAAATAATATTAGTTTTAAAAACTGTTTAGATAAATGGGGAATTGCTGATAATTGATGATTTTACATTTCAGGTCTTGATACCAGTGTTTGCCTTGGGTAGAGCACAAGAGTTATGTATATTATTAGAAAGTTACTGGGAGAGAATGAATCTCAATATACCGATATACTTCAGTCTCGGACTGACTGAAAAGGTAACAAGAAAACACTGAATGTGACATGTCTCAGAAATAAGTTATTTTTTAAACCTTTCACATTTCTTTCCAGGCTGCCTGTATAAGCTGATTATAAGCTAGACTGTTCAAAGAGTAGAGAGAGCTAATGTACACACCTTAGCATGGGCGTCATACTTTGGTTAAGTTTTTGCGGGCAAGTTGGTATCTCCAAAACTACTGGCGGGAATGGGTTGAAATTTCACACACTTATTTGAGAGCATAATAAAAGGTTGCTGTTCAAGGCACATACCTTACATGGCTTTTGACAGAATAATTGCCCTTTTTGAAAATTCTACATTATCCAGGCTCTTACTGTACTAACAGCTCTGAGAATAGTTGATCATTCTGTCCTACTAATAGGTCATGTGCTGGAAATAAAAAGAAAATCTTCTGAATAAATGATTAAAATGCATTAACTTACAATATGTTATATTCATAACACACAAGTGTAAAATCATGATATGAGTATATTGCGAAATTTGTGATTGAATCAAGAAATATTCCTGATGTATATTTCAGGCAAATCATTACTACAAACTATTTATATCATGGACCAGTCAAAAAATCAAAAACACATTTGTACAGAGAAACATGTTTGAATTTAAACATATCAAACCATTTGATCGGGCGTATATCGAGAATCCGGGACCGATGGTGGTGTTTGCGACCCCGGGAATGTTGCATGCTGGTCTATCACTACAGGTCTTTAAAAAATGGGCACCGCACGAGCAAAATATGGTAAGTAATGTAGACCATATTATTCTTTTTTCTAGTTTTACTTGTAAAGCAGTGATTGATTTGCATTTTGTTTAATAAATAAGAAATTTATGTACTGAAAATTACCTAGATATCTTGGTTGATTATGAATAATGTATTTTATTTTATATGTCACAGTTCAAAACTGTTCACTATTTCAAGAAAATAGTGTGTAAGTGGTCAAATAGCTCAGTTGTTAAAGCTGCAATGCGGTATTCCATGTGTCCTGGGTTCAAGTCCGGGTCAGGCTGCATATTTTTCTCACCCTGTAACATATTCAAAAAGTCATTTCAAAGGGATTTTCCCGAAAGTTGGCAAAGGTGGCTCTGTGATTACAGTGTCTCTTTCTCAGTGCAGGAATCGTGAGCTCGACTGTGATGACAACTTGATGCTTAATTGAACCGTTCTCATGTCATGCTTCCACGATCTTAATAGTTTAAGTGTCATATGAGGAAACATGGTTGTGACCCCAGTAGTGCTGGAACCCATATTCTCCCTGATTTCAGAAGCAGGCACCTTAACTGCAAAGCATAGGCTCAAGAGACATACAAATTATTCTGTATGGTACCCACATGCTCAAACATTTGAGCCGCGACACGACAAAACCAACATAATGGGTTTGCGACCAGCATGGATCCAGACCAGCCTGCGCATCCGCGCAGTCTAATCAGGATCCATGCTGTTCGCTTACCAACTCTATAACAAGTAGAGAAACTGATAGCGGACAGTATGGATCCTGATCAGAATGCCCGGATGCGCAGGCTGGTCTGGATCCATGCTGGTCGCAAACCCACTATGTTGGTTTTGTCGTGTCGCGGCTCAAATTTTATACTTGTCACTGAGTCATTGGTTTGAAATTATTTTTAAGCAGTTGAAACTTACTTTTCTCACTTAATTGGTATTAGCCTATAGCCTCTTGTTTTTGGGAAGAATTATCGCTGAAAGTGCTAACTTGGGAAGTAAAAATGCTGGTGTAAGGTTAGATTCAATTGGGAAGAGGCATTTTATAGGCCCCTGTTATATATACAAATGTATATAATAAAGGTGAAAAAACTTTGGTTGAAATAAATTGGATAAATAAAGCATTTAACAGTATTTTTGTTGTTATAATGCCAAAATGAAAGAAAGCTGTTAAAACATTTATAATTATGAATTAATTGTGTATATTATGTGTATCAGGTGATCATGCCAGGATATTGTGTAGCAGGCACTGTGGGTCACAAGATTCTGAATGGAGTTAAAAGGCTTGAGATGGAAAATAAACAACATGTGAGAACACCTATATTATATAAATATTTTGATGGTATATAGAAAATATCTCACTGCAAACAAGATATATTCACTATGAGATACTTTATCATAAAAAAGATTTTTGTACATTTTTCTTGCTTTCCGTAGAAAAATTATATGTCTCAATTATTGCATACCATCCATGTCCTGGGCATCCAGGACTGTCCCAGAAAATCAAGATACTGTCATGGAGGCTTATGCATAGATCCCTGACCTACACAATTCTAATCATCAGATTAGTGGATGCAATAATAATTTCACCACAACATATTTGTTAACAAAACAGCACATGTAAATGAGGGTGGTTAAATCTATTGTTATTCAAATGAAAGGTCAGAGTAGGGATCTTTCAATTGCCATCTGCAATCAAAGACTAACCTTCTGAATTTTAGTACTGATAATGGAATATGCCATTAGTATGAGCCTAGTTATACTCTACTGTTGGTAAGTTTTTATACTGAAATCCCTAAAATTTCCGATAGACTGTTCCAAATTCAATGCCGGGGCAAGTGCATTGTAAATTTTCAGTAGGGTTAGGACAAAATATAAAGAGGATATTGCATGAGTGTAGGTTCAATACTGAATTTATTATTCTAGTTGACTGAAATTATCTCATGTGAATCTTTGGCAAGCATAATATTTTTGTATTCAACAGGTTTGTTAGTTTAGTTTAAGCATATTTTATTTCTCAGAATATATATACATGTTACAATTTACAATATACACAGAGCAATTCAAATATTCTTTAAAAAAAAAAGAACAGGATTAGAATGAAAGACAACAAGTCTTATGAAATTCTTCTCCTTAGTGAGTGATTGACATATAACAGGTTTGTTAAATTTAGTAATGAAGCTACACAAATATAATATTGTGTTTATGTGGCAACATGGCCTAGTGGTTAAAACGTCAGACTATTAATCTAATGATCGCAAGGGGCAAGTCCTTGTTTGCTTGAGCAAGAAACTTTACTCTCATTGTTTAGAAATGTTTGGTTCCAGGAACAGATTCAGAAGTGTGTCTATAAGCTTATAGCTTCTTACACAATCGAACTAAAATTAATTCTGTATAAACCAAATATTCTATTTATCACATACTGGGAATAAAAATCACTTTTTCTTTAACAAACTTATAATGTAACGCTAAGATTTAGAATCTTATGCTATGTTTGTGTGACGTAAATGACATGACATCAAAATATATGGGGCCTGCAGTGCAATTTTTATTCAGCCATAAAAGTGGAACAGTATATGATACAATAATTTATTTCCCTGATTTCAGATAGATGTAAAGTTATCAGTACAGTATATGTCATTCAGCGCCCATGCTGATGCTAAAGGAATTATGCAGCTTATATCATGGTGTGAACCGAAGAATGTCATGTTGGTACACGGGGAGGCAGCTAAAATGGACTTTCTGAAAAACAAGATTCAAACAGAATTTGGTACGAGCTTAAGGTCTATGTTGAAAAATATGCACTTTGTTAGGTTTCTAAATATGCAAATTGGAAAAATAAAAAGTTATGTATTGGTTGGCAAGTAGTTGTATGAATAATGTACATCATTAACAAGCAACAAAAACACGAGCATTCAGTAATTATTTATTGTTGATGTTTCTGTTGTATGCCTTCATCAGTGAATAACATAATAAAATTACTGGAAGCGACATCATAATGAAACACACATTAAATAGGCGAAACAATTTTTATGCCCCCGGGCATATAGTAATTGAACCGTCCGTCCGTCTGTTCGTACAAGGTTAACCTAGAACGGCAAGTTGGGTTTTTCTTAAGTTCTACCTGTACCAATGGCTTCTTAGTTAACACACTTTCTAATCAATACAAAGTACATGATCTGGTCAAGTTACATAACTATGGCTTCCATATTTACCAAGTTATTGCCCTTTTCAGCACTTAGAAAATGAATAATGGTTCAAGTTGGAAATATCTTAAGTTCTATCTATACTAATGGCTTCATAATTTCCACACTTACTTATCAATACAAAGTACATGATAGTGCCAAGTTATATAACTGTGTCATCCATATTTCCCAGTTATTTCCTTTTTTTCACTTTGAAAATAGGGCCTTGTCTGGTTAACCTATTCCGGCAAGTTGGATTTATCGTAAATTTCTCTTAATTGCTTGATTTATTTAATGATATCTGGCATATTTGGTAGGTGGATACCTTTAATGGTCCTCTAATTTTTTGTGGAGTAAGTGGTCTCTAGGGTCAAGGTCAAGGTCACTGGTTTAGAAAATAAATTTAAACATTTTTGCTCATACAGCCTTTATTTTTTGGTTGATGTCTTTCATGTTTATTACAAACATGCCAAGGGAGGTCCTTCTTCTTTGGGTATAGTAAGGGGTCATTTGGGTCAAGGTCAATGTCACCAATGTCAAGGTCACCAATGTTAAAAATAGATTTTTACATTTTTACAGGTGTATTAACCATATTCTACAGACAGATGTCGTTTATAATTGATAGGAACATAAATTTGATGGAGTTAGTGGTCAGTTGGGTCAAGGTCACTAGTGCTAAAAATTTATTATTACACTTTTGCCCATACAGCCTTTATTTATTGACAGATATATTTCATATTTGGTAGGAAGATAACTTGCATATTATTCTTACTTTGGATGGAGTTAGGGGTCAGTTGGGTCAAGGTCACAAGTGCTAAAAATAGATTTTTACACTTTTGCCCATACAGCCTTTATTTAGTGACAGATTTATTTCATATTTGGTTGGAAGTTAACTTGCATGGTATTCTTCCTTTGGATGAAGTTAGGGGTCAGTTTGGTCAAGGTCATCAATGCTCAAAATAGATTTTACACATTTTTGCCCATACAGCCTTTATTTATTGACAGGTGTTTTTCATATTTGGTAGGAAGATAACTTGCATGATATTCTATAGGTGTCAGTGGGTCAAGGTCAATGGTGCCAAGTATAGATTTCTTACATTTATATATATTTGATAAAGTTGAATATTTATCACTTCACAAGTCATAGCAATGACTTGGCAACTTATATATTTCACAATTACAAAATGCCATGACTCTGTCAAGCTATATAACTTGTGTTGCAATGTTTCTGTCCATAACTGAGTGAACGGGTAAACATTTTTTGAAATATTGCTACTGACAAGAATCAGAGCCTGGGCCATTTGTGTTTAACAAACACGTTCTTGTTTTAAAATTAAATTTGTTTATGACCTGGCTATTTTTTATACACAATTACATGTATAATAAACAGAATGACATGTCTGTAGTGTATCATATTGGTTCTGTGTGAAAATATAACATATATCAGTTATTAATGTAAACTGCGAAAAATAATGTTAATTGCAAAAAATAATGTAAAATGCAAAAAGTGATGTAAAATGCAAAAAAATGATGTTTGTATGTTTGTTTGATCGGGTTTTATGTCACACCGACACAGTATAGGTCATATGGTGACGTACCAGCTTTACTGGTGGAGGAAGACCTCAGGTGCCTTTCCGTGCATTATTTCAGGCACAAATGGCACCTGAGTAGAACCACTGACGTTCCGCAAGCTATCTGGGTAGCTTCCTCACATGAAAGAATCCAAAGTCCTTGTCATGAACCCACAGCGGTGACGGGCAAGTGAATTGAAGTCAACGACCTTAAAAAATGATGTAAAATGTGACAAATTTTCTGTTCATTATATATATTTACAAAATGTTCTATCGGGCATTACTTAAGTTCATCTGATTGGAATGATTGCTCTGTTGTCTTCATCTCATCATACAAAAACTTTAATGTATCTCATTATTCAAACATGTTCAAAGGTTCCAACATGAAACTTGGAATGCTTGTTTATCATGACAAGACAAAGTTGTAAGAAATGGGACATTATTCTGAAAGCCATATTTTTGGTATTTTGCCCCTTTTTAGCTTATTAATAAATGTTGCCTGTAACAGACAATCACTTGTTATTGTTATTTTAGGATTGCAAGCAACAAAGATGGTATTGGGAAGAATTTGTTGCTAACTGTTTCAACATTGAGAGTTCTCAAATTAGTAGAATCATTGTCTCCACTTGAATTTAAGGGCATAGGGAATAATATTAAACACTATATAAAGGTTGTCCTTGGCCTAGTGGTAAAGGTCATTGACTTTAAACTATTTGCCCCTCAACCCTGTAGGTTTGTAATCGAAGTGAGGATGCAATCCAGCTGGGTTACGGAAAGTCAGTGGTTCTACTGACTTGGGTGCATGGAAGGTCACTAAAGGTCTTCCTCCACCAGAAAGTTGCCATGTGACCTTAACTGTGTTGATGTGATGTTAAATTGACAACAACAAAAAAATAAATAAAATAACTATTGCTTGTATATAAAGAAAAATATTTTTTATTGCTATTTCAGGTATAGATTGTTACAAACCTGCTAATGGTGAAACAGTTACCATAGAAACTCAACATAACATACCTGTAGATATATCACTTAGTTTGCTGAAAAGAGAAGCATCTTTTACAGGTAATAATACAGATGTTATAAATATTACAAATTAGTTATCTGACCAACATTCTTAAATCTTATCAGGCACACTGTTTCCTATTTGTTTTACTTTTTTGTATATACATGTACTTACAAATTATATTTCTCCACATTATTGAAGTCTCTTGTACTGAAATCTATGTACTTGTCATTTTCGTTTTGTTTTAATGAGACATCCTTGTCATGCAATCCCTTGATAAAAATATCACCTATTGTCAACTGTAAAAGTTACTCTTTTCATTTCTTTTTATTCCTAAAAAAGTCCTCTGACTTATGTTATGTCATGAAAAAGATTAAGTGGCAATATATTTCCTTTTATTTGAAAATCAAGTCTAAATTTCTGTATTATAAATGACTATTCCATTTTCATCACTGATTTTTGGAACTGTTCACTATTTAGGGTAGAATATGTGTGAGTTGGCGGATAGTTATCAAGTAAATATTTTGTTATTTGTGTAAACATTATTTTTATCATATTTGCAGGATTAAAAACACCAGATCCGAAGAAACAAAGAGTTTTACATGGTGCACTTGTGATGCGAGGAAATGTATGTTAATATTTATGTTTTATCATGTGTCACTTAATAATGCAAATATTTGAGAAAATATTATTCTGGGTTTCTTTTTTCTTATGTCAGAATATGATTTTGATGGAAATATTTTTTTAATTTTTTTTTATTTTACATGAGACATGCCTAGATGTGTTTGTAGTAAAATCCTGTCTGTATTTATGTTTTTGGTTTTAATTTACTAGAAACTGCAGTTAATAGATCCGGATCAGGCCCTGCGAGATCTTGGTATTAAAGAACACAACTTGAGATTTACATCTACATTATATGTGGATGAAGATGGGGCTTCAGAGAAACTAGCAGAGAAAATCTACATGCTGGCTAAAGAGTAAGCTTACATTTTTGTTTTACATTTAAATGTCTAGATATACTGGTTGCCATTTTGTAGGAATGAAATATAAATAGCGGATATTGAATGAGTGTAGGTTTAATACTGTATTTATTGAACAAGTTGAATAATATTGTTTTATTCGTTAAGTTCAATAAATCTATAAGAATTTAACATTCTATTCTATTGAAAATAACAACAGTTTTCAGATAAAAAGAGTCATTTATCATTGACGCACCTACGGTGTAACGCTAACATAAGAGCGCTTTAATGTTCTGTTTGTATATATTGCAAAAGACGTCATGTCAAAGTGTTATTACACTAATTTAATATTGTTTTTATTACATGGCTTTATTACACTCCTGTGACGTAGTTTATGTGATATAGTATGATTATTTATATATGTGATGATTTCTACATTTGTATGAAAAGTTTATCTGAAGGTTTATTAATTGTTGTGCCCCCACATTAGTGGCGGGCATTTAGATTTACCCTTGTCCGTCCATCCATCCGCACTCACAGGAGAGTAATTATGTGGCTAGAGGGACAATAGGTAACTGTTCTTTCTCTTTGATGTCATTCATTCCGTAATGCTTTTATGTGGCTATTTTCTTTTGTGTGGCTAAAAAGAACAATAGAGAGAACAATACAGTAGCCACATAATTACTCTGCTGTTAGAACGTCCGTCCTTCCCTCCGTCCCTTCTCTTTTGTGTCGCACGAAACTCAAAAAGTATTTGACCTAGAGTCATGAAACTTTACAGGAATGTTGATCAGCATGTGAAGTTGTGCACCTGGGTATTTCGTCTGGATATTTTTAGTATTTTTAGAGTTATTGCCCTTGACTTAGTAAAATTTTGCAATTTTCAACTTGTGTCGCATGTAACTCAAAAAGTATTTGACCTAGAGTCATGAAACTTTACAGGAATGTTGATCAGTATGTGTAGTTGTGCACCTGGGTATTTTCGTCTGGATATTTTTAGTATTTTTAGAGTTATTGCCCTTGACTTAGTAAAATTTTGCAATTTTCAACTTGTGTCGCATCTAACTCAAAAAGTATTTGACCTAGAGCCATGATACTTTACAGGAATGTTGATCAGCATGTGTAGTTGTGCACCTGTGTATTTTCGTCTGGATATTTTTAGTATTTTTAGAGTTATTGCCCTTGACTTAGTAAAATTTTGTAATTTTCAGCTTGTGTCGCATGTAACTCAAAAACTATTTGACCTAGAGTCATGAAACTTTACAGGAATGTTGATCAGCATGTGTAGTTGTGCACCTGGGTATTTTCGTCTGGATTTATTTAGTATTTTTAGAGTTATTGCCCTTGACCTAGAAAATGTTTGCAATTTTCAACTTGTGTCGCATGTAACTCAAAAAGGATTTGACATAGAGTCATTAAACCTTATGGGAAAAGTGCTCAGCATATTTAGTTTGTTCCGGGGGTTTCGCTTGTGGATTTATCCAGTATTTGTAGAGTTATTTCCCTTGACTTAGTAAAAACTGTTTCATTATGTTGTTATTTGTTCTCCGAGTGCTTGAGTGCTTGAGTTAGAATCGACCAACTTTACAGGAATAATGATCAACATCACTAAATTACAGGAATAATGATTCACATCACTGTGAAGCTATGAACGTGGGACTTTGCATGTAGATTTTTTTCAGTTTTGTTAGAGTTATTGCCCTTGACTTACAGTAGTATAAATTTGCAATTTTCAACTTGGGGTTTGCTTGGGGATTTATTCAATATTTTTAAAGTTCTTGCCCTTTACTTAGTAAAAAGATTTTTAGTTTTCAAAAAATATTTGACCTAGAGTCATAAGATTGACAGAACAGTGGCGCGGTGGGGGCACCCGTGTCCTATGGACACATTTCTAGTTTTCTTTTTGGTATGATGTGGATCTTGCAATGAAGATGATTTTGATTTTCAAGTTTATTTGATTTTTTTTCTACATTACAGTCAATGAAACTAAAATAACATACAAATATTATTCTACAACTATAAAATTTCCACTGATCTTTCATTCGTGTTAAGTCAAATATTGAATTTTTGCTTGTTTACTTGCATGTTTAGTTTGTTGTTCTTTCATTAAAAGAATAAACAAATAATTGCTTCATTGGTGGGATTGAAGCACAAATGGTCATTATCTTAACTACTGGTGTGAAAGATGTAATTAATGGTAATTTATGCATGGTCAATGTCACTAAAGATAATAAAATACAGAACTTTTTCCATAGCATATCTCCTCCATGCATGATGGGATTCTAATGAAACTTCATAGAAATGTTCACCACAAGGGGGTTTCAACTCTGATTGACTTGTCTCTCGCCAGCCACTAATAATAACCATGTGAGGGAGCTATCTAGTTATCTTCTGTTAGGTTTGTTATTCTACCGAAAGTGCCACTTTGCCAGAAACAATGCAGACTTGCATCCTAACTTCCTCAAACAGCAAAAACTTGATATACACCACATAAGTTAATCATAGTCATTATGATGTGAAAAGTCAACATTATGTCATTCTTTTTCAAACGTTTTTTTTTTTCAGGAAAATTCCGGACCAACCTTCCCAGTACTCATCTGATGGTTCCGTGTCTGTGTCGGATGTTATGATAACAGTCTCTGGTGAAGATGATGACACTAAATCTGTACTTGTCACCTGGTCACATCAGGTAAAAATTACTGTACTTGTCACCTGGTCACATCAGGTAAAACTTACTGTACTTGTCACCTGGTCACATCAGGTAAAACTTACTGTACTTGTCACCTGGTCACATCAGGTAAAACTTACTGTACTTGTCACCTGGTCACATCAGGTAAAACTTACTGTACTTGTCACCTGGTCACATCAGGTAAAACTTACTGTACTTGTCACCTGGTCACATCAGGTAAACCTTACTGTACTTGTCACCTGGTCACATCAGGTAAAAATTACTGTACTTGTCACCTGGTCTCATCAGGTAAAAATTACTGCACTTGTCACCTGGTCACATCAGGTAAACCTTACTGTACTTGTCACCTGGTCACATCAGGTAAAACTTACTGTACTTGTCACCTGGTCTCATCAGGTAAAAATTACTGCACTTGTCACCTGGTCACATCAGGTAAAACTTACTGTACTTGTCACCTGGTCACATCAGGTAAAAATTACTGCACTTGTCACCTGGTCACATCAGGTAAAACTTCTTGTACTTGTCACCTGGTCACATCAGGTAAAAATTACTGCACTTGTCACCTGGTCACATCAGGTAAACCTAACTGTACTTGTCACCTGGTCACATCAGGTAAAACTTACTGTACTTGTCACCTGGTCTCATCAGGTAAAAATTACTGCACTTGTCACCTGGTCTCATCAGGTAAAACTTACTGTACTTGTCACCTGGTCACATCAGGTAAAAATTACTGCACTTGTCACCTGGTCTCATCAGGTAAAAACTTACTGTACTTGTCACCTGGTCACATCAGGTAAAACTTACTGTACTTGTCACCTGGTCACTTCAGGTAAAACTTACTATACTTGTCACCTGGTCACTTCAGGTAAAACTTACTGTACTTGTCACCTGGTCACATCAGGTAAAACTTCTTGTACTTGTCACCTGGTCACATCAGGTAAACTTACTATACTTGTCACCTGGTCACATCAGGTAAAACTTACTGTACTTGTCACCTGGTCTCATCAGGTAAAATTTACTGTACTTGTCACCTGGTCTCAACAGGTAAAATTTACTATACTTGTTACCTGGTCACATCAGGTAAAACTTACTGTACTTGTCACCTGGTCACATCAGGTAAAACTTACTATACTTGTTACCTGGTCACATCAGGTAAAACTTACTGTACTTGTTACCTGGTCACATCAGGTAAAAACTTACTGTACTTGTCACCTGGTCACTTCAGGTAAAACTTACTATACTTGTCACCTGGTCACTTCAGGTAAAACTTACTGTACTTGTCATCTGATCACATCAGGTAAAACTTCTTGTACTTGTTACCTGGTCACATCAGGTAAAACTTACTATACTTGTCACCTGGTCACATCAGGTAAAACTTAGTGTACTTGTCACCTGGTCACATCAGGTAAAACTTACTGTACTTGTCACCTGAACAAATTGTCACATCAGGTAAAACTTACTGTACTTGTCACCTGGTCACTTCAGGTAAAACTTACTATACTTGTCACCTGGTCACTTCAGGTAAAACTTACTGTACTTGTCACCTGGTCACATCTGGTAAAACTTACTGTACTTGTCACCTGGTCACATCAGGTAAAACTTACTATACTTGTTACCTGGTCACATCAGGTAAAACTTACTGTACTTGTTACCTGGTCACATCAGGTAAAACTTACTGTACTTGTCACCTGAACAAATTGTCACATCAGGTAAAACTTACTATACTTGTCACCTGGTCACATCCGGTAAAACTTACTGTACTTGTCACCTGGTCACATCAGGTAAAACTTCTTGTACTTGTCACCTGGTCACATCAGGTAAAACTTACTGTACTTGTCACCTGGTCACATCAGGTAAAACTTACTGTACTTTGTTACCTGGTCACATCAGGTAAAACTTACTGTACTTGTTACCTGGTCACACATCCGGTAAAACTTACTGTACTTGTCACCTGGTCACATCAGGTAAAACTTCTTGTACTTGTCACCTGGTCACATCAGGTAAAACTTACTGTACTTGTCACCTGGTCACATCAGGTAAAACTTACTGTACTTGTCACCTGGTCACATCAGGTAAAACTTACTGTACTTGTCACCTGGTCACATCAGGTAAAACTTACTGTACTTGTCACCTGGTCACATCCGGTAAAACTTACTGTACTTGTCACCTGGTCACATCAGGTAAAACTTCTTGTACTTGTCACCTGGTCACATCAGGTAAAACTTACTGTACTTGTCACCTGGTCACATCAGGTAAAACTTACTGTACTTGTCACCTGGTCACATCAGGTAAAACTTACTGTACTTGTTACCTGGTCACATCAGGTTAAACTTACTGTACTTGTTACCTGGTCACATCAGGTAAAACTTACTGTACTTGTCACCTGGTCACATCAGGTAAAAATTACTGTACTTGTTACCTGGTTACATCAGGTAAAAACCTACTGTACTTGTCACCTTGTCACATCAGGTAAAACCTACTGTACTTGTTACCTGGTCACATCAGGTAAAAATTACTGTACTTGTCACCTGGTCACATCAGGTAAAACTTACTGTACTTGTCACCTGGTCACATCAGGTAAAACTTCTTGTACTTGTCACCTGGTCACATCAGGTAAACTTACTGTACTTGTCACCTGGTCACATCAGGTAAAACTTACTGTACTTGTTACCTGGTCACATCAGGTAAAACTTACTGTACTTGTTACCTGGTCACATCAGGTAAAACCTACTGTACTTGTCACCTGGTCACTTCAGGTAAACTTACTATACTTGTCACCTGGTCACTTCAGGTAAAACTTACTATACTTGTCACCTGGTCACTTCAGGTAAAACTTACTGTACTTGTCATCTGGTCACATCAGGTAAAACTTCTTGTACTTATTACCTGGTCACATCAGGTAAAACTTACTGTACTTGTCACCTGGTCACATCAGGTAAAACTTACTATACTTGTCACCTGGTCACATCAGGTAAAATTCACTGTACTTGTCACCTGGTCACATCAGGTAAAACTTCTTGTACTTGTCACCTGGTCACATCAGGTAAAACTTACTGTACTTGTCACCTGAACAAATTGTTCTGAGCAGAGACATACAATCGGCACATTTATGTGATAAATGATATCTTATAAATGTTTGTTTATAAGTGATTTATTTATTGCTTTATTTCAAATAGCTGTACATGTATTTTCAGGATGAAGATTTAGGCAGTGAGTTGATGGACATCATGAAAAATGAACTACCTGTCATTGTGGACTGAATAATTTAATTTAGGGAATACAAGGAAATTAATGTGGACTAAATGTCAAAATTTAACAACACATACCTGTGTAATGTTACAGATAAAGGAGGAAAGAAGAGGAGAATATTCTGATGATCTGCAATGACTTAATTAAATGTAGACACAAACATGTCTTCATTACAGTGTCCATTGTTATTACAGTGTCTTACTTGTCTAAAGAGACCAGTTCTTAAAGAAATACTCAAGATGGTCTCTCATGGCAGGTTTGGAGGTAGATTTGCTGTTGATAAAAAAGGAACTAAAATGTTGATCTTTAGAGAAAGGTGTTCTGTACATGGAGGTTTTTTGGTGATCTCTAAAATAGGTGTGAATTTATCTGAGTCTCATCAGAATATTGTTAAATCAAATTTGATAAAATACAAAATGTATATAAAATTTGGCTTGACTTTTATTGATTCTGACTGTCCACTGTATGGTTTAGAGATTTGAATATAAAAGTAACTTTCTGTAGTTAACTCAAAATATATGGTCTCTCAATTTTCGGATTGTGGATTTGATTCAAAATGGGTTTGTGACATTGTTTTGTATCTAAGGACACATGCACCAATCAGTTTATGGAATAAGCCAATTCAATTTTTTTCACCACAATCTAGCTTAAATGAATTTGTTTTAAAATAACCTTATCTCAAGAAAGCAACAAAATTGCTGCAATTTTGATGAAAATCTTTTATTAAAAGGTGTATAAATTGAATAAAGTCTGCATCTAACATTACATATACATTCTTCATAATTTTTGGAAACTGTAATGATAAATAATAAGTTTTTAAGAAATAGAAATGATAGCATTTCTGGGGCATAATGGGCCTTTAAGAAAACTGTACTGGAGATTTGTGATGGTTTTCTCTACAGCGACAACCCTTTTACAGCTACTCCAGGCTGTATAATAGAAATTATAACATAACCGTCGTTATTGCCGCATTTAATCCTTTGTCTGTATGGGCAGCTGATTTTATCCCAGTGCAGACCAAGATCATGGTCTGAACAGTTTGCTATTTAGTCAGTTCATATTTGAAGATTTCCCTAAAAATGATGAATGGTTTTGCAGAGACTCAATGATGGACAAGTCCATTTAAGATATTGAGGGTGGTAATGGTTAAATTTGTCTTCAATGAGACAAACACAAACGGAATAAAAACAAGATATGTTTGTAAAACATGTATGCCCCCTATCAGCAGCCAATTAGTCATGTGATAAGGTTATTATGCATGACTTCTGACCCAGTGATCAAACAATTAATAAGGGTTATCAAGTATCTACTGGTCATGACCTTAACCTTTGACCCCTTGACCCAAAACTCAATAGGGGTCATCTGCTGGTCATGACCAATCATTATACAAAGTTTGAAGTTCCTAGGCCTAAGCGTTTTTAGTTAATTGATCGGAAGCCGTTTTTACCTACAAGGTCAATGTGACCTTGACCCCTTGACCCCAAAATCAATAGGTCATCTGCTGGTCATGACCAATCACCATACCAAGTTTGAAGTTCCTAGGCCTAAGGGTTCTTTAGTTATTGATCGGAAACCGTTTAAACATACAAGGTCAATGTGACCTTGACCTTTGACCCCAAAATCAATAGGGGTCATCTGCTGGTCATGACCAATCACCATGCCAAGTTTGAAGTTCCTAGGTCGAAGCGTTCTGTAGTTATTGATCAGAAACCGTTTTTACTTACAATGTCAATGTGACCTTGACCTTTGACCCCTTGATCCCATAATCAATAGGGGTAATCTGCTGGTCATGACAAATCAACATACCAAGTTTGAAGTTCCTAGGCCTAAGTGTTCTTAAGTTATTGATCAGAAACCGTTTTTACTTACAAGGTCAATGTGACTTTGACCCCTTGACCCAAAACTCAATAGGGGTTATCTGCTGGTCACGACCAATCATCATACAAAGTTTGAAGTTCCAAGGCCTAAGCGTTTTTAGTAAATTGATCGGAAAATGTTTTTACCTACAAGGTCAATGTGACCTTGACCTTTGACCCCTTGACCCCAAAATCAATAGGTCATCTGCTGTCATGACCAATCACCATACCAAGTTTGAAGTTCCTAGGCCTAAGGGTTCTTAAGTTATTGATTGGAAAGCATTTTTTACCTACAAGGTCAATGTGGGGGGGACCTTGCCTTTGACCCCTTAACCCCAATATCAATAGGGGTCATCTGCTGGTCATGACCAATCACCATACCATGTTTGAAGTTCCTAGCCTAAGGGTTCTTAAGTTATTTTAGATCAGAAACCGTTTTTACCTAAGAGGTCAATGTGACCTTGACCTTTGACCCCTTAACCCCAAATTCAATAGGGGTCATCTACTGATCATGACCAATCACCATAATCAAGTTTTGAAGTCCCTAGGCCTAAGGGTTCTTTCGTTATTGATCGGAAACCGTTTTTACCTACAAGGTCAATGTGACCTTGACCTTTGACCCCTTAACCCCAAAATCAAATAGGTCATTCTGCTGGTCATAACCCAATCACCATACCAAGTTTGAAGTTCCTAGGCCTAAGGGTTCTTTTGTTATTGATCAGAAACGGTTTTTACCCAAGAGGTCAATGTGAACCTTGACCCTTTGACCCTTGAACCCCAAAATCAATAGGGGTCATCTACTGATCATGACCAATCACCATACCAAGTTTGAAGTTTCCTAGGCTTAAAGTTCTTAGTTATTGATTGAAACTGTTTTTGCTTACAAGGTCAATGTGACCTTGACCTTTGACCCCTTGACCCCCAAAATCAACTAGGGGTCATCTACTGAATCATGACCAATCACCATACCAAGTTTGAAGTTCCTAGGCCTTAAAGTTCTTTAGTTATTGATTGGAAACTGTTTTTGCTTACAAGGTCAATGTGACCTTGACCTTTGACCCCTTGACCCCAAAATCAATAGGGGTCATCTACTGATCATGACCAATCACCATACCAAGTTTGAAGTTCCTAGGTCTTAAGGTTCTTTAGTTATTGATCGGAAACCGTTTTTTGCTTACAAGTCAATGTGACCTTGACCTTTGACCCTTGACCCCAAATAAATAGGGGTCATCTACTGGTCATGACGCGAATCACCATACCAAGTTTGAAGTTCCTAAGCCTAAAGGTTCTTTTAGTTATCACTCGGAAACCAAATTTGGTCTACAGACCGACGGACGACAAGTGCAAAGCAATATACCCCCTTTTCTTCGAAATGGGGCATAATGATAATTTATGACTTTTTATCGCCTCAATAAGTCTTTACAAATCCTCTTACATCACTCAATATGGGTATATTACAGTACGCTCAGCGCGGCTTTTTCAAAACCCGCGTGACCCCGCGGATGAAGGTTTACCGCGGACGACAATTTGCTCAGATATTGTCCGCGTGACCCCGCGGACAGAAAATTTTCACCACCGCGGACATAAAATCGGCGGGCTGAAACCGTTTCCCCCCGCGGAACGCAGTGGTAAATTGCGGAGGAACGCGGCGGTCAAACACCGGTCAACGCGGTGGAAACCTTATATTTTAAAAATTAATTACTGTATTTAAACATTAGTATACGTACGTACATGTACTGTAACATGTACTGTACATATACATGTAACCCTATATGTAAAATTTGTTTTGTTTTCTTTCTTTTTTTTTGTAATAAAAAGTACATGTACAAATGCAGCGTTTTTCTTGTTCTTCTTCTTGTTATTGTGTTGTGGTAATGGTATTAATATGTATTCGACATCAAGATAAATCATTGTCGTCGCAACTTCTGGTAGTGAGAAAAACTTGAAGTCAAATAATGAACAAATTCGGCATATGACATGTATGAAAAAGATACTACAATAATTTATATGCCAGCTTTTGTTTCTTATTTAAAAACTTTGAAAACGTAACCCTCAAAAATTTATTCAGAGCAATTTTTCCAGGACGTCTCTTCATTTGTCAGATGCGTTTTACTGTTTCTGTTATTTGCATGTTGATCAATAAAGTCTAAGTCTTATATTTTATTTGAAACATTAAAAGAAAGCGTTTATTTCACCAAAATATACATTTCATCCTACATATAAAACTCACTAATGGGCCCCACAGAAGAGAAGACGCAGCCTATCAGCAGCCCAGTGGTCATAACGAGGCCATTAGCAGCTACGGTCAAGACGTATAATTGTTCTTAATTAAAGTAAAGCCTGTCGTATTTTTTTCACAAGTTTAAATTATTATAGTGTAATTATTTAGGACTAACAAGTGTTTCATTTTGTGGATATTAATTAAGCAGTTAAGAAAAGTGTGATAAGAGGTATGTTTAATTTATTTGTATATATTTATTTTAAGTTTATACTTAAAATCGTTTAATTTTTTGTCAAAAAAAAAAAAACAAAAAAAAAAAAAAACCTCGTATATGTTTGATGTCTGAACACCACAGACAATATATACATTTGTAGTTATACATTTTATAACAACAATATTTATTAGCCAATTTGTCTGAACACTGCTGCCCAAATACGAAAAAAAAAAAATGTCTGAACACCACAGGCAAAACAAGATACAGTGTTCGTAATCATGCTTATCCAAACACCATGGAAAGCAAAAATTGTCTGAACACCACAGACAAAAGACTCATTTGTTCGTAATGAAATCATGCTTATCCAAAAACACCATGGATAAGCTAAAAACTGTCTGAACACCACAGACAAAAGACTCATTTGTTCGTAATAAATCATGCTTATCCAAACACCATGGAAAGCCCTAAAACTGTCTGAACACCACAGACAAAAGATTACATTGTTCCGTAATTATGCTTATCCAAACACCATGGAAAAGCTAAAATGGTCTGAAACATTACAGACAAATTATATATTTGTTTGCAATAGGGCGTGTTCATGCAACATGACATACATACATAATAATAATAATAATAATAATAATAATAATAATAAAAAAAAAAAAAAATCAGGAACGTCTTGCATATCACAGAGGGACCGAATTAATGATTTATGTTAGATATCTATTTGACGGCGTTATTTACGCCTGACTGCGATTAAATTCTAATCGTTGATATATGTTTCTTCCTTCATTTTATTGCTTAAAATGGACTGCGGCTAGAAATGTTAAAAAACATTTTCAGGATCATGGGCCGACGATCAAGAGGTCGGAAACAACCAGTCCAATATTCCCAATTATTTTGAAAAATTCGGGACACTTGCAGATCTTCTAGTCAGTTAGAAGACATCCAAAAATGCAATAAAAGTTTAACGGATTCTTCTGACTAAATGAGGTTGAACGTTAAATTCTTGAAAAGAACTGCCAGTTACCTGCGAATCAACGAAACAATCAACTTCGAAACCTTTTTTGCCACACGGGGATGATTAAGGCTCAGATCACG